GTTTTCTGTCGTCTTGCTGTCAGTCTCATATTTTCTCTCTAGAACTTGTGAGAATGTTTTGCAAGATAGGCTAGAGTTTTCTTGGTGAGGTTAGAGATGAACTTCTGTTGAGTGACCCAATTTGGGGTTTTGATTCCTTGTGCTGTAAAGTTTAACATCTGAATAAATTAAATCTCATCTATTTTTCTATTAATTTTCAAAATATTGTGTGCCAATTGTTATATAAGTTCAGTCACGCTTTTCTTATGTAATTATGTCACGCAATGTTTTATTATTCAAATTATTTTACAAATTGTCTTTTACTGAAATATTGTCAGATTGATATATTGTCGATTTTAGATAACTTGTAATAATAATATTTTCTGAGCCAACATAGAGATTTAATTTATTCGATTATTTTATTTTGTGAATCAAAACTTGAATTGGTGAACGAAGCATTAGGGATTCTCGACACCTTACCGTTTTCTTCATACAGATTTTCTCCTTTTTATTTTATTTGCAACAAAAATCTCAAAAACTCTCATTTTTCTTTAATTCACTTTTCTCTAATGCTCTTATTCTGTTAATCATTCTTGTTATTTTGTTATCTCTCTGTGGATACGACTGCCCTTCTGTGCTATAATTGACCGCTTGTGAACATCACTTTTGGGCGTTAATCAATGATGCCTGCTTGGAGCATTTCATTAACCAATCGCTCAATCTCATCTTTTTGCACCTGTGGATAACGGTAAGGTCGCACCCTAATTGGAGACGTTCCTTCTTGAAGCACAATCGCATGATCTCAAACCTGAGCAGGCGGTAAACCCTGTGGCTTCTAAAAAATAGCAGTAAACTGCTTCAGTAACTGAGAAACCTCGTCTGGAATTTGCGTTTGCTTCCCTTCCTCCAACACCTGCACACACCCCAACTCCACCAAAATCCCCTCTCCTGCTTTCTTGAGCGTTTTCAGCATGGACTTCAAGGAAACCAATGTCCTCCTTAAGCCCGAGACCCCCTGCAAAGTAACCACCGTCTCCCCCACCTTGAATTTCATTGTTAAGGTCTGTCAATTAACTGTCATATTGCCAAGGGACCCTAACCATTGCATTCCCAATATGACATCCGAACTACCCAGCTCAAGGGGAAAAAAATCCTCAACCACCTCCACCCCTTGCAACCCCAACACTAATCCCTTGCAAACCCCACTTCCCTTCACCGCCTTCGCTGTTCCCATAATCACTCCATATTCCCAGGTTGTGATCAACGGCAGGCCTAACTTCCTCACCAATTCCATGGAAATAAAATTGTGGGTGGCTTCCGAATCAATGAGCACCACCACCTCTTGGCTTCTGACCATCCCCCTTATCTTCATGGTTTTCGAAGTGGTAATTCCCACCACCAAGTTCAAAGAAAGCTCCACTACCTCCTCCTCTTTTACTACATTAATCTCTTCCTCTTCATTTTGACTAATTTCCTCTTCCTCTTCCAAAATTAAAATCTGTAATTCCTTATTCTTACACACATGCCCAAAGAAATATTTTTCATCACATTTAAAGCAGAGACCTTTCTCTCGTCTTTTTTGAATTTCAGCCTCAGAAAAACGCCGAACAGAGGGCATACCAGTTTGCGGAAGCGGTCTTGAGTGCATTAGTATATTGGCTTCGAAAGGGCTGGGTATAAGGTTGATGTCGCATCCCTGGGCTGGCTGTCGTTCCCTTAGCCACTTTCAATGCCAAATTCCTTTCCTCCACTCTCTGCGCCAATTCTATAATCCGATTCAAACCGCTCGACTGTAGCATGTGGATCTCCGCCCGTATCTCCGGCTTTAGGCCGTTGATGAAATTGCCCTCAAGAATCACCGTCGGAATCTCTGTCAAAGGTGCGGCTAGAATCTCGAAGTCTCGAATATACGCATGCACCGTTCCTTCTTGCCGGAGAGCAAGGAATTTCTCACAATTCGACCCCTCCTGCGACGGTCGAAATCAGTCGAGCAGCAACTTCTTGAATTCTAGCCAGTTGCGTATGGGTCGGCGCCCGTCCGTCCACTGGAACCAAGCCAAAGCCTCACCATCCAGGCTAATCGCCGCCGCCTCCAACTTCTCCTTCTCTCCCATGCGATTTAGGGCAAAAAATCGCTCAGCACGGAAAATCCAGCCATCTGGATTTGTGCCTTCAAAAATTGACATTTCTATTCGCCTCATCATTCCTCCCAACCGGAATTCTTCTTCCCAATGCTCGTACGCCGGCCCGCCTCTACTCCCATTCTCGGCCCTAGTCTCTCTGTACTCCAAACCCTCTCTTCCTTGATTCTGCATTAACATGTCCAATTTCCCGAGAATCAGCGCCATGTTTTTCTCCAACGCAGGTATCTTCTGCAAATCGTCCTTAACTCCCTCCATTTCTTTCAAAATTCCCTCCCAAACAGCACTCAACTGCTCTTCCACGGTACCCAATCTTTCCTCCATTTTCCTGACAGCCATCACGAATCACGCAAGATCGACGCTCTGATACCAATTTGATACGAAATCACAGGTAAAGATTCAATTATGCAAGTATTATTGTATTGAACAAACAATCGGAAGAACTCAATGAGAATCTTTCCGAACACTCTACACACACACAGAGGTTTTCGAGAGACCTCGACTCTCTAATTTCTTCACAATATAATTCTCTAATCTCTCCCTTCTGTTTCCACTCCTATTTATCCCCTTATTTCCTGCCTAAAACTGTTATTCAATCACCCCACTTATTCTACAATAGGCAGCCCTATCACAGAATTCCTATTCTGTCCCTGCCTTTTATTCCTCCTTACGTAAGTAAAATGCACCGGTGGCCTATCAGATACTAGTTGGTGTCTGCAAGAACGTCTTGAGCTGCAACCATTGTTGTCATCCCACTCAGTTGCTGGTGTTGGAAGCTTGACTTGATCATTGTGGCTGCCATGAGAGGAAAACTTACCCTGGAAGCTTTCATCAAATCTGTAATAACAGCTTCGAACCATGTGCCCAATCTTGCCACACAGCTGGCACTGGGGCCTGTTGTTGTTGTTGTTGTTGTTATGCCACCAGCCTCTTCCTCTTCTGCCACGGCCTCTGCCTCGGCCACTTCTGGTGCCTTGAAAGTTCTGAGACCTTCCTGAGTTGTAGTACTACTGAAAACCTTGAGTATTGCTCTTCTCCTAAGTGTTTTCAAACACTAGATTTGCAGTTGGGATTGATCCATCTGAGATGATGGCCTGACCTCGTTCCAAGCGAGTCTCAGAACTCATTAGTAGAGCTCCAGCATCCTTGACAGTATAAGGTTCAGCTCTCGATGTAATGGTCACCATAACAGGGTCATATTCTGCCCCCAAACCAGCCAAGATGCACTGAATTTGATCTTCATCAGAGACTCGGTAGCCCATTGAAGCAAGCACGTCACAACAAGCCTTTCATTTTTGTGAGATACTCGTGCATTGAAAGAGAACCCTTCTTCAAGGTTTGAAGTTGCAGCTTGTGCTGCATGATTTTTGCCTTTGATTGAGTGGCAAATGTCACCACCAAAGTTCCCTAAAGCTCACTAGCAGTGTTATTTCCCACCATATTGATCAGCACTCCTGAAACAGAAGCTAGCAGCCATGAAGCCAGCAGCTGGTCTTGCCTCTGACAGAACATATAGGCAGGGTTGGTGTCAAGTTGACCTAGTACAAACTTTGGTGGAGTGGGAACAGTGCCAAACAAGTAGTCATCTATGTCTTCCAACAAATACTTAAATATATATATATATGTATTTGGTTTCAACTATGCCAGTCTGGATTTTTTTTTTTTGGTTTAATACCACTGTTATTTTTTTTTTGTTAATTTTTCCCTTTACCAATTCTTTCAAAAGTAACTGTAATTATTTCATCCCAAAAAAAAAAAAAAAAACTATTTCACCTTTTTACACCGTGATGATTGTGTAATTTGTATCGGCACTTCGACCTTGTTTTATTCCTAGAAAGGACTAAAAATATTTTGTTTCACTAATTGAGTAATTAAGTATTAATATAAGTGTACATTTATATTACTTAAAAAATAAGTGTACTAATTATTAAAATTGAGAAACAAATTCATCCTCCTAATCTTACCTGTAGTGTATAATGCACTAATCGTAATCAATATTAATAACATTTATTAAGCATTCATCTTAGTAGTGAGGCAAATCCGTTCACTTCGCTGATTCGAGTTTATAATTCGAGTTGAGATGTGATTTTATGTGAGAGCTTTTTACTGTAGCAAAAAAGTTAGATGTGACTGTTTCTGAGAGCTTTTTACTGTAACAAAACTCGAATTTTAAACTCAAATCGGTGAAATGAACGATGCCTGTTATGAATCCACCTTTACAGCTAAATAATGAAGTTTTGAAGTCTATATATTACCTTGCCCTTTTAGCCAAAAATGGTTTATCTTTTTTATAAAAATAAAAAATAAAAAAATAAAAAAAAAATGGATCACATGGTTCTTAATGGACGGCAACTCTGGCTTTGTTTCTTTCGGCCCCGTTCATTTTGCTGATTCGAGTTTAGAATTCGAGTTTTACTACAGTAAAAAGCTCTCACAACAATCACATCTAACTTTTTTACTACAGTAAAAGCTCTCACATAAAATCACATCTCAACTCGAATTAAAAACTCGAATTAGCGAACTAAACGGGCCTTGTTTTTGCTTTGAACCTCTGACTTTGCACTGTTTGTCTTCTTGGTTTTTGAATCTTGACTAATCCTTGTCGTTGTCACAAGCAAATCAAAACCCACTATAATTGGAATTCGAATTAAATGGCTGAAAGTAGGGCACGTTGCTTAGCCCCTTAACAACAGTCTATGCTTCTTTTCTTTTTCTCCTTGGAAATTCATTTGCCTCTTTATAGTAAAAGAGTTTTAATATTTCATATTTTACATATAAACTTATCATTAACGTATAAATAAGGACATAAACAGAGGAATGTTATCGACCCCATCTAGGCATTTAAAAATTATGTGCCTAAAATGATGTGAGAAGCAAAGTTTGATAGACAATTCATTAATAACGAGTATGTTGCTTGTCCATTTATCTTACTTGGAAGTAGCTGAAATTTTCTTAAACAAACTAGCATGAGGGACGTGCCTCTAGTAAATTTTTTTTTTTTTTCCCCTCTTTGCAATACACATGTTTTTTTTTTTAATTTATTTGAAATTTTTAAGTATGATAAATAATGTTTCAATAAAAAAATGTTTGTCTTAATTTTTTCTCTATGAAAATAAATAAACATGCTAATAATTCAACTTATAACTTTGAATTTGAACACGACATGCTAACAACTTTTTTTAAGAGATGCTTACAATATTTGAATGGCAATAAACATAAATAAATATAGTCAATTTATATTTATTTTTCAAACGAAGAACTGATATCATAAAAAATTTTACAATAACAGGGTAAACTTATTAGGGAAAAAAAAAAAACTGAAAACTGATTCTACCTACAAATTAAAACCACATCGTGAAAACTTATTTAAAAAAAAAAGAAAAGAAAATCAAAACCTTCGAAGCAAGCAGACAACATGTTCAAGAACAAAAATTTTAAAACCACATGTGCTTCTATATATTGTATAAGATATAGCACTAATAAAGTGGATAAATAATTAGAGGGAATTTACAGAATTGAAAAGTTTCCGTTAAACAATTTTTTAAATACAAATAGCAAATGTAATTCATTTTTCCACTCGCAGAAAATATTAAGGGCTTGTTAAGTTTGAGACAGCTTCTTGAAAGACGGTTTTTGGCTTTAATGGAGTCTAAAAATTGCTAATGAAAGTATGTAGATGATTTGTTAAAAGAGCTTTTAATTAAAACCATAAATATATTTAAAAAAATCCTTTGATTTGACTTTTAAAAATATATCAAAGTTTTATGAAGATGTTATAAATTTTATTCTAATAATTTTCTTGTTTAAAAAATTTTAAAATCAATTTGACCTATCACGAATCATAAAATTATGGTTCCAGGCACGTATTTAAAAGCCACAAGACTTTGCTTCCATTTTTCTAGAAAACAAAAGCAAAAACTCAATAGGCCCCAATGAATTTTAAAAAAAATAAAAACAAAGAAAAAGAAAAAGTCATATTCAAATAATTCCCAGAGACAAGGGACTTATTCTTTTGGACTAAAACTCAAAAAAAGTTTGAACTTAAATTACAATTTTATTTAAGTTCATGTTCATTTGTAAAATTTAAGTTTGAATTCGCTAATTCGAGTTTTTAATTTGAGTTGAGATGTGACTTTATGTAAGAACTTTTTACTATAGTAAAAAAGTTAGATGTGACTATTTTTTAGAGCTTTTTACTGTAACAAAACTCGAATTCTAAACTCGAATCGGTGAAATGAACGAGGTTGAGTTCGAGTTTCCCTTTCAACTTAAGTTCTTAAACTCAAATTTAAGTTAATGAATAGTATTTCTTCTATTCTTGGAAACATCATAACTTTTTCGTTTTAATTCCGATTGAGATAATTTTTTTTCTATGCATTCACAACGAAAAGACGAACAAAACCCCACCCATAAACCCTATTAAAATTTTTCATCACCATTAAATTTTTATCAAAATACTATCTAAATACAAATTCAAGTTTTGACCCACTCAAACACAAATTCAAATAGATTCTTAATTCAAATCATAACTCAAATGTGTACATCCAAACACAAACTCAAGTTACAATTTCAACTCAAATTATAACTCAAATTCAACTCAAAATCTACACTCAAATCACCATAACTCAAAAATGTAACCCAACAAGCCAAGGTATTCCTTTTAGCATGCGAACCCGTCGCACAGTAACTTGCCTACAAATCCTATCCATAAGGCTCACTCGAATCAAGAAGTAAATCAAAAAGAACAAAGAACCTAACCAAGTAAACTAATGCATCTACGTTACGGCAATCTAAAACGATTTAGAGAGAGAGGTTTTTCTATCAAGTAAAACTGTAAAAGCAAAATAATCAAGAATCAACCCCCCTGCTTCCTCCATTGCATGCCAGATTACGGATCACATTAGCTGAGAAGTTAGAACTGAGAAGAAAGTGGTATTCTAAAAATTCCTTGTCAGCTCGTCTTTATACTGCATTCACATAAAGGGCCAATACCCTTTAGACTCTTTACAATCATAGTTCAGATTCAGTATCAACGGCCGAGCACAATGTCAATAAATTGATCAATATGACACCAGCAAACACGTTCACATATTAAGTAACAGTATAAACAAAACTAATAACCAAAAGTGTCACAAAATCTTGAGTAAACATCCGTTTGACTTGAGCGTTCTTAGCAAAATATAAAAAAGAACCAAAATCCAGCAAAATCTAGTGCAAAAATATCTGATAAGCATTAAAAAGAAACCCTGGGCAGAGTCTTCTAATTTGTTCTTGGAGTGGCCCATTCCACTCGGAGGATGAGATTGTCGTAACCATAGCCATTGAGTTTGTTGATAGCTCTCTGAGCATCGTCCCTGTTCGCAAAGTTGACAAAACCGAATCCTCTGCTCATTCCAGTCTTTTGATCAACGGCAACATAAACACGGGTTACAGTACCAAAAGGTCGGAAAAGCTCAAGCAAGTCAGGCTCCCGTGTATCTTCTGAAAGGTTGGTGACCCGTACCGAGTTCTCATCATTCCTTCTTCTCATATCAGTACCACCTCTCTCCGCTGCAGGTCCTCCTCTCATGCCAGGAGGAACATATGCCTTACTACCTGTGCCAGAAGCCGGAGCTGCAGCTTCTGATGCAGCGGGCTTATCAACAAATCCTTCAGATGGTGGGGCGAGATCCTTGTATGGGCACCTTGAAGTCCAGTGGTCACCCTTCTTACCACAAGTTCTACACAGCATGAGAGTAGCACCTTGTTGAATTTGATTGAGGGCATCTCTGGCCTTCGACTCTTCCGAATCTTCCGATTTGCTACCTGTAATTGAATCGTTCGAAAACAAGTGTCAGTGAAAAGGATGACGCTAACACTATTTAAACAGGATGCAAGCTCTAATCTCTTCTTTAAATGCCCTTGAACACCATCAGAAACATTTAAGAACTATGACTAAAGGAAAAGCAACCACTATCTAGCAATAAAGAAACTAGGAACTGGTCTGTTAGGCATCAACAGATTTGAATACCATCAAACTATACATTCTTAGTGACCACATCCAAAATACGTATGCGTCGGAACAAACAGCACGCACATACAAAATCCTACCATACTAATATCAATAATTCACAAGAAACCAATATAGATAACTACACCAGTAAGTATAGGAGTATTGGTTGAACAGCTAACAGGGTGGTCCAATTCAGTAAAAAAAGATGAAGAATTACTTAAGAAGATTTTGAATGATATCATACAGGAACCATGCATTCTTTATTCCATGGAAAGAAGAATTATGGAAAATTGGGAATAGGTTATTCTAATTGTCCAACTTTTGTTCTTGTTCATTCATTCTTCCCAAAATCAACTGCATAAATTTTAAGTCCCTCCATTAATTAGTCCAATTTAAAGTTTCTCACCGCGAAATCCAACCCTAGAACTTATTTCACGTGAAAAAGAGATATCAAAGCATTGAAATTCAGCACAAAAAATATATAAAAAATTAATGCTTTGTCTGAAAAAAAAAAAGCAACAAACCCTAATAAATTATCGGATCACATTCTTCAGTGACCCTAACGCAGCACCAAGAGCCAGAAACTGAAATTGAAAAGTAAGAGACATACCAGGAGCCCTAGTCCGCTCAAGGATGATCTCTTCGGTGGAGACCATGGTGAGCCTGCTACCGACGTCCTCGTGGACGGCGTCGCCGAACTTGGGCCAAGAGCGGCGCTCGACGGCGCGCTTGCTGAGGCGGGCATTGGCGAGTTTCCGGACGCGCGTGGTGGTGACGATCTTGACCTTGTTGCCATCGTCGTTGAACTTGTACTCAATCACCTTCTTGATCCCGTTATCGTCGGGTCCGATCACCTGGCGCGGCGGCAAGAGGAAGGCCAAGTCCTCTCCGTCGTCCTCCTCGAGCTCTCCCCACCGGAGCTTAGCTGGCTGGGTAGGGTTTTGGGTCAGCGTTGCCATGGCTGTGGTGGTGGTTGTGCGTTCGTCGGTGAGTATGGAGGTGAGAGAGAGAGTTTTCGATGCTAGGGCAATTTTTACGATTTCTGTGGGGATAACAAATAACTTTCAGCTTGCGGCGTTGCCAAAAGCTTTAGTTGTGTTATGATTGGGCTAAAGACGAAAAGGCCCAGCCCAAACAAAAGCCCTGTTTAATAAGTTAGACTTCAGACAGTATAATCTTAACCCCCCACCCCCACTTTTTTTTTCTTCTTCTTTTTCTTATGAATCTTACTATTTATTTTTAAATATAGTAAAAGTTTTAAAATTATTTACAAATCGTAAAAATTAAAATAATTATAACCAACTCATAAAACATAAAAATCGTCATAAAACATAAAAATCGTTATTATAATTACTATTTTAATTTTTCTATTCTTAAAGTAATTCCAAAATAATTGTTATATTTAGTTCTACGTTTATTAATATATTATGTAGTGTAGTTTTTACTCGCATAATTTTACTAATTACTTTGAAGTATAGCAAAAAAATTATAATATTATAAAAATTGGAAATTAAATTTATTTTAGTAATTAATGCATTTTGTAGCGTAGAATGTTAAAATTATTACAACAATTACTATCTAATATTTTTCTAGTCTCACATTGAAATGAATGAACTTTGTTTTCCCTCAACATTCTATATAAAGTATTATTAAGCCTCATATAGTGCGCAAGATTGGATAGTATTTTAAGGTAATGGATTGAAATGTATAATAAAGTATATGATTGAATTGGGATTTCAATACAAATGGCATTTTTGAAGGATATTTTTCATAAATGGCTAAAGTCTTACAAAATTGCAAAAATGGTTTTTTTGATTAATTTAATGGTCAATCATTGGTTGACTCAGCATTTAATTACTGATTGATTTAGTGGTCAATCATTGATTGACTATAATTTATTACTAATTAACTTGATCATTCTTTATTAATACTCAACATTAGTTAATAATTGACCAAACTCATTGAGTAATTAATCAATTTTAATCAACAAATTACATATTTATTAATAATAAAATCATTAATAAATAAATAATGAATTGGTCAATCACTGATTGACCGTGGTCCATAAATCAGTCATTGATTGACTCATGTAAACAAAACGACCATTTTCGTAAATTAAAAAAAGTTCGGCCTTTATGAAAAGAGGTGGTTAAAAAAGGCCAACCAGCACAATTTCTTGAATAGATTTTAGTTTAATCTAATCTCATGTTTGTTGTTGTGTTATTAGGATAAGGACATTTTTGTAAAAAAAAATTTAAAATTGGAGGTCAAATTGTAATTTTTCAAAACTTGAAAGGCAAAAATATAATTTTTAAAATGTTTTACTCATATAAAATTTCAATTTGGCCCTCAACTTTTGTAAAATTACAATTAGACCTTAAATTTCATAAAAATTTACAAATAGTTCCCTAGTATTTTCTACAATGTGCATTAGTTAAAATTATCCCATACTTCAGTAGGGGATAGCAACATCCCCTTCTAAGGGGGTTTGACAATGGACAATCCAGTCCTTTAAAACTGTGTACCAAATACACTACTAAAATTTAATCATATCTAATCCTTTTTAATTATGCACACCAAACAGGTCTTTAGTGTATAGAACAGAGACCAAAAGAAGCTAGAGCATGGGCAACACCATTACTCTTGCTAGGAGTAAAGACACATCTCCACTCTGGCCACTCAAAAACAATTGAGATAATATCAACTATTAACACCCCGAGAGAAGTAGAAAGAGCCCGTTTGGTTCATGGATTAGAATCATGAGATTAAAATTATTTTTGATTTATGTGTGTTTTTTGTGAGAGAAAATATTGTAGCGAATCATGAATCATGATTCGAATCAGAGAACGAATCCTCCAACCAAACGGAGTAATTTTTTTTGTGAAAGGAAAAACATTGCAGTAAAATTATGTTTTGAGTTTGAATACATGTATCAAATAACTCCTAAGTAAATTTACCTCTTGTAATTGATAGTTAGATCCCTCTTGTAATATGTATATTTTTATTTACAAAATGAGACGCACTATAATTTATGTTTTATTTAAAAAAATAAATTAGTAAATAACTTCAAAGGGATAATTCTTCAATTTTTTTTATAGGAATCCGCACGATTTGAAAACTCATATATATGTATACATAAAAATATAAAAATATATATATTATGGAGGTATTTTTAATTTTTATTATAATATTTACATATCAAAGTCATAATTATTATTATTATATATATGGATAAATTTATGGGAGGGGATGTACTTTCTCCCTACTAGTAGCGTGCAGAATATCAACCACCTATCATTTTAGAGCGGTTGAGATTAAAAAGATGTACTAAAGTTCTATAAAATGTTTTACAGCTAATCAACTCTTAAAAAAGATAAAAAAAAAAAGAACACCTAAAAATTAAGGCATGTTTTTTTGTCTAAAAAATTTAAAAAAAGACAATTCAAGTTTTAATTTTATTTAAGTTCACATTTTTTTAAACTTTAATTTTATTCAACTTCACTCAACTTTATTCAAGTTACAACTTTAACTTAAGTTATAATTTAAATTCAACTCAAAAATTACACTCAAATTACACTCTAAAAGAACAACCTTCCAAATTACAGCCTGTGGTTCGTCCCTGTCTTTTCTGATACGCACCCAAGACAACGGCTTCAATTCGCCAGTGGTTCTTAATCATTTTTTATGACGGCAGTGTTTATGTTTTGTCTGTTATCTTTTCATGACGATGTCAAAGAATTTCGATTGATCGATTTTGGTTGTGATTATGGCAGCCATTCATTTTTTGATAACGTCCCATAGTGGTTTGTTTTAAATTCAGTCCATTGCGTTTGCCTCTGTCTGTGCCTAGGATTGCAAAAAAGTTGGCTCACAAGTTGGTTTTTGTTGGCTTTAATATCTCTTAGCAATATTGGCTTGAGGAAACGCATCTCAAGCCACAATCATTCAATTTTGGTAATGTAAGCTCTAATCACAGACAAGTAGCAATTATTTTGAAGCCCAAGCAAACCAACTAACGTTTCAATCTCTCTCCTCTAAACTTGTCGGCAAACTTGGACAGAAACCGCCCCGTGAAAGTCCCGAAAAACAATAAAACTTTTGATCGCGATATTTTGGCCATCTAACCTCCGATCGAAATGATTTCGGTTCCTATGGACCCAGAGCGATGAGACGAAGAAAACCATCCATTTTTCCCGTTCAATTGCCACCGGAGGGCGACCGTCTGAGGTTGCCGAAGGTACCGCGGCCGCGTTGTTGGAATTCGCGTTTCCGGTGGCGGTGAGGGTCACCGCCGATCTGGTTTGACTCGAAAGGCGACGAGGAATCTACCCCGACTAGTAGCCACCAATTCCGACGGGGCGGTGGGGCGGCGGCAGTGGCAACGGTGTTCCGGTCGGCGTTGGTGGTTTTTTTTCTCTTTTTTTTGAACTAGTGGTTTTTTTTTTTTTTCCTTTTTTGATATTTTATTTACAATTAGCTCATTAAAAACCTTTTTAAGGAAAATTCAATGAGATAAAATTTTAGTAAGAAAAAAAAAATACATTGGGATAATTATATACGAGAAATATGCTAGAATGACTATCAAACAAAGTGAAATTAGTAAAATGACCTTCTTCATTTTTTATGAAGAATGACTACCTAATCATTCTTTCTAAAAAGTGGTCATTTTACAAATAAAAATTTTTAAAAAGTTATTTTACTAATAAAACTTTTTTATTGAGTTATTTTTACAAACACCTCTAATTATACATAAGATGTTTACAAAATTACTATAAAAAAAACATAAAAAAATAAATATTGTTCATAATTACAACGTATTACTCCGAGTGGGAGTATTAGAAATGAGAAGCTGGCCCATTTGTGGGCCTATATGGGCCTTACACGGGCCGGCCCCTTATGGGCCTACACGGGTCTACCCATTATAGGCGTAGACGGGCAGGCCCAGCTCGGCATGGTCTATGGACCGATATATGTTGGCACAACCCAACCCACCAATATTTATTGGTTGGGTCGTGGCTTGAACAGTGATGGGTCATGCTAGCCTAGCCCGTCACTGTGTCAGGATGGGCTTGGGCCGGCCCATTGTTGCATCTCTAGTCACGTTCTCCCCACTGGACGCGTGCCTCTTTGCAAGTTTAGATCACGCGCCAATCTCAACCGTTGATATTCTTGATCAGACAGTCTAAAAAAGTTTATGGTTTTAATTTTAAATTACAATTATTTATTACTTATTTATTTATTTTGAACTGATTCATGGTCCGATTTAGTAAGTTTTAACATCATTTTGCACCAAATTGTTGATACTACTAAGATGAAAATACTACAAATAATTCGAATGACACATAAAATTAAATAAAAATACACTAAAATAACATAAGATAACACTATATTAAATAAAAAATAAATTAAATTGAACAAAATATAACTAATTTAAAACACAAGAAAATAAGTTAAAATCTTTTTTCCATGTGTTTTGATTCATATCTTTTTCCCGCTTTTGTTTTGATTGCTTTTATGTCCCTTTTTTTTTGTTTTTACTTCTTTTCATATTTTTTAAACAATTTAAATAGTAGTTATTTTAAAATAATCACACACGATGGGGGTGGGTTCAAAACATGAAGATAGAGCTTGAAAATGATTAAAATCTATACCCCATAAACAAACTAAGTAAAAGAAGAGGAATTATTTAGCGGATCGGGTGTACCACGTCATTTTTTTATATGGTACACTGTCTAATGAGATTGTATCATTTAGACATTTTGTTTATGTTAGTTTTTTACACTTATGTTTCTCTTTCTTAATTGGTGTTGCATTAATTGTTGAATAAAAAACACCATAATTATTCTACCTAATTTCTTATTTTAATTAATATTTAACGTTTTAAAGAATATTTAACTTAAAATAATTATGTTTATTTCTAAAATACCACTATTTAATTTTTTTTATGCTTCGCAATGCGTCCCTTGTTATTCCATGGGACAGAGGAAACTTAAGCCTTCCATCATGCATCACCATTGAGAAGAAAAGGGGCTGATATCTTTAGATTTAATTATAGAGAAATTGAAGGAAACATGGACATTGAAGGAGGTATTTTATACTTGTCATTTCTTTTTCTTTTTCTTTTTTTTTTTGAAAAGTGAAGTAATGTCCTTTTTTAATTCCCTTTTCTTAAAAAAGGTAAAATTTGTGGGGGGAAAAAAACGAAAATCAAAGAGATCATTTGCTATTATCTTTATACTTATTAAACATTACTTGTGAGTAGGAATATTATTCTAAGGAACTACGCATAAGCAATATAATATAGAATATCCAAACAAAGTTTACTCAACTTGGATCCATAAATATATAAATGTTCAGCATATACGTCTTTCGTTTAGCATTTTAGGCTAAGGAAAAAAAAAAAAAAAAAAACAGTAACTTAGCAAGGCACGTGTTACAAAGCAGAGAAAATTGAATAATAATATTTTAGAAATAAAAATTAATTATTTAAAATTAATGGATTAAAAATAAGAGAATTAAGTAGAGTAGTTATGATGCTTTTAACTCAATAATTAATGTAATGCACGTTAAGAAAGAGAAACATAAGTGTAAAAAATTAATATAGATAAAAATATTTAAATAGTATATTTTTATTGGACAGATATACTATATAAAAAAATGACACGATACATTTAGTTCGCTGATACATTTAGTTCGCTGAATAATTCCTCGCAAAAAAAAGGGAGAACCATATAATTATTGGAAGTAACACCTAGAAAAAATAGAGTGATAGATATAAATATAATCGAGAGTGCTTGAAAAGCATTATTTCTTAGTTGAACAGAAGCCAATAGAAAAAAAATACATAAGGTATAGAAATTATGCTCATGCACTCCTTGAAATTTCAACAGAGAACAGACCACCACACATCAAACCAAAAATCATACCATATTCCACCAAACTATTTCACCTAGTCCTGCACTCTTTCCATTCTAAAGGCTTTTTCTTTTTTTCTCAGAAAGAAAGGAAAAAGGAAAGGAAAAAAAAAAAGAAAAAAGAATTGAACAACATACAATGGAATATTTGAACAACAAAAGCAAGCAGCACACACTTCTTATAACATCAACCAGCACCACCACCGTCGCCGCCCCCATGAGCACTACCACCATCTCCGCCGCCACCGTGAGTGCTGCCGCCTTCACTGTTATGCAAGGCAGTTATGGTGGCTGTAGTCACCACGGCCGCAGCCACGCCACCATCATTGCTTGTAGTGGCGCTAGATCCTTGATAGTTGCCTTCAGCATGGTCACTCGGATCCGTGGGATTAAGCCCCCTGCTTTTGCTTTTCTTGTCAGATTTGGAAGATCCTTCTTTTTCCTCTTTTGACTTGTGGCTTCGGAAGCAGAAACAAATGTTTTTGCTCTTCATCTCTGAATTTTCAGCATGGATAACACACTTGTGTATATTTCCTTCCTCTTATATAAGAAAAATTCCAAAGGGGGGTCCAAAGCCTTCATTCATTAACATTATTACTTATCTAATAAGTAATTAAGTATAATGTTTAACTATGAAAAAAAAAAAAAAAGAAGAAGAAAGGAATCTGTCCAAGTGCCACAAGTAACTGTTGTCTCAACTTTATTTTTTTTTCGCCTTTTCAAAACGGTTCAAAAGACTTTTTTACCAACTATTTTGCTTACGAATATTAAGTGATAAGGGGTTGCTAGCCAATGAGCCAGCCAGGCAAAAACACACAAAAAATGTCCTTGACGCGTCTTTTGAGATTTAATACAGCTAATATGTCTGTGCTGTGGCCTATGGTAATTAAATTAAGGTAAAGTAAGGATTAGTATTCGATAAGACTTTGGAGGTGATATTAAACAAAAGCCAAATATTCCTTTGAAAGATTGATAATACCAACAAGATTAGGAGGAGCAATCGTATGAAAGAATGAATAAATTATTAGTAATAGTAAGCATAAATCACGGGAAAATGGATGGCAACCTATCGATGAATGACAGGTCGTACATTATGCTAAGGAGGTGCACATGTCTTCGTGATGGTGAAGTTGTTAAGGCCAATCATGACGTGTTAATCCTCTTGTCTTTAATGATAATTGTACGGCCAAATGTTAATATGTTAAAAAAAGGTCGTCATTAAAAATAAAAATTCTGAAGGTCCCAAGTTTAATCAAGTGAAGAGTTAAAGATAGCAAAAAGAAACCAAAATAATTCAATCTCTAGACTCTATCCAATTAAAATGGGGGGAAAAAAGTGGAGTCCTGTGGATGGCATTTTTGAAAGAAAGCAGATAACAATCAGAGCAGTCGATCAAGCTCTTTTTCTGTACCTCTTTAAAGTCTTTTTTGCAAGAATCACGATGTTTTGAGATTGTCCAATTGGTCTAAGTTAACTATTATCAACTACTTAAGTGGGTCTTTTAGCCAAAAAAAAATACTTATGTGGGTCTGAGCAAATAAGTTTTGATATATACAGGAGAATGAAACAAGCTCAGCCTGTTCGATTACAAGAAAAACACTTAAAAAAAGGAGATATCCTAATTTAGATTATTTTTGTGCTGTATTTCCAATCTAAAGCAGCGGAGTCCAAAAATGTAAAAGTTAGAACTCCCAATAATGGTCAGAATATTGTGTTAGTTACCGTCATTTTACAGAAGCTTTCCACTCATTATACAAATGAAGAAAATTTATCAAAACTGAAAACCTGTATGTGTGAATGTGCTATCACAACTAATTTGATACAAAATTGCTTGTATAAAACTCAATTTAAGCATCACTTCACTGCACTGACACAGGGCCATCCTGCTTCATCTTGATTAAACTACTTTCTATATTCCGCAGCACCGGTTGATACCTACAATTGTTTCGAGGTAATCAATATTAGAGATAGATTAACCTAGAAGAAAACATTCCAACACCATTAGGGGAAGCGAATCTCACATGTGTACAAGACCAATATATGCTTGAGTGGCTTGCTGGAGTTGTGCCGAGAGCTGCAATACATCAGCAGATAACGCCTCTGCTCGGCTCTGTTCCTTTGCTATTTGACCCTATAAAGAGAGGCAAGCAACCAGAGAGAGAGAGAGTTATTGAAATAATCACCTGACAAACTTAACCAGCAGCCAGCAGGTTGAAAAAAGTAGAGCTCTTTAGGGGCTAATATAGAATGATAAAGCTTGTATACTGTAATTATTTATGGACAATCATTTGTAGACTTCTGACTAAGTTTCATTACAGCATTAAGCGAACAACCAACCTTGAGGGAAATAATTTCAGCTGTATAGGCTGGGGAACCAGTCTGATTTATCCCAGCATCGTGTGGTTCCACAAAACCCTTAGCCTGTTCGATTCTCAACTTGTCTAGGATTCCACGCAGCTCTTCATTTTGCTTGAGACAATCCTTTACCTGAAAGTTCAGGTATCAGGAAAAACATAGTCCCACAGTTAGGCATATGAACATTATGAAGAAAAACTAGCTAACTTAATTAGAAGTCCTTGTACTCTTCCATTCTGACATAAGGTGATCCCTATTAGAATATAACTAGCACAGAATCAAAAAGGGACAGCTCAGAGAGGCTCATGGTCATCCGCCAATACATAACTGAAAGTTGGTTGATCAACAAAAAAAAAAAAAAAAAAGAAAAGAAAGAAAGAAAGACTAGCAAAATACGAGCATGCTTAAGGGATAAAACATAGGGAGAACTGAAAAGCATTGGACTTTCAGAAAACGACAACCACATGTTGCCATACTTGAACCGCCAATAATTACCAAAGCATGGGACTTTCCGAAAACGACAACCAAATGTTGCCATACTTGAACCGCCAATAATTACCTGATTCTCCCATTGCACTGCTATGGCCATTGCTTTCAGATAAGAACTTGTGAGACTGGAATTTTCCTCAAAGAGCCTTTCAATTTCTGAAGATTGGGAATCAATCTGCTACCATCCGTAATATCAATATTATTGTTAGTTTTCAAAAGGCAAGTTTGCTGGAAATTGTGTATCAAAATCAATATTCCTAGTTCCAATCTCTTGAAAGTGAACAGATTTTATGATCACTACCTCTACTAAAAGTTTTTGTCTACTGCTTTCCAATCTTTCAATCACTACAGCCATGTCATGCAATTGCTTCTCAAATTTCTCCTTGTCTTCCTGCAAATCAGAAAACATAAACAAAAATGAAAGATCAAACATTCCGTCAATGTATCTGTTCACGAAGTAAATCATGAGTGTCAAAGGATCAATATAACCGGGAAGAAAGATTCAAAGGGAAGGAGTTGGGGAGAAAAGGATAAAAGCCTGCATCTCTAGCAAACAAAAAAAACCTGCAGCCAATGTGACATATACTTACCACTGAAAATACTTTGTTCGCAGCTTTCTCTGAATTTTCTGCAGTAGAAAAAACAGCATAAATGACATAAAACTATAAATCTAACAAATTAAAGTTATCTTGAAATGCTAGTCCAAAAAGATCTTGTAAAAAAGTGTTGCACTGAAAGCCAACGAAAAAGATGCTTAATGGATCCAGACTATCATGCGTGACCAGAAGAAAGCCCCAGGTGGAACTAACTACTACGTAGTACAAACCAAGATGAGTATATAATGGACAAGAGAAAAGTACATGGTTTGCTATGGTTTTGGGGATGCCTATTATTTATGTCATTCTAAATTTGGGTGCCATTGTGGCCTTTTGTTTTCTCTTTATTAATTGAATGACAATTTATTTTTGAGTGGAGTGTCATAAATAATACTTTTTACTATCTTGGGTGGTATTTCTGGTTTTTCCCCTAATGAAAACTCCTATTGCTTTGAGCCTTCGAGAGATCTATGTCATGAAAATGAATCAACATGACGTATTAAACACTAATAAATGCACATAAATTCCAAAAATAGAGACAAAAAATCAGGAAATTGAAACTCTTGATGATTTCCGATTCATTAATGTTGGCTTGGAAAAAGTTAAGGACTAAGGATATAATATTACTTTGTAATCTCGTACTCACTAAAAAGAAGGCTGACAAAATAAATTGTGTGGGTGATACCTGATTCTATTCTTGACATAGCCGCAAGCTTTTCTTCCAACTCCTGCTTTTGGGACATGAGCATAGATGTTTGGGCCTGCTCCTCCACTAATCGTTGCCGCTCTTGCTGCCTCAGTAGTGACTCTTGCTAGAGTTTCGATCATAAAGAACACTCATAAGCAAGCATTCCAACTGTGGACTTATTATTGTTATTATTTGAATGTGTTATTACCTGTAACTCAGCTTTTAAGCTAGCCAACTCCTTTTCTAATGTTTGTATTTGTTCTGGTGAATTCACAAGAGAGGTTATTCCACTAAAAGAACCACTCATTATTGACTGTTGCTGCATCAAGTTCAGTTCTGCTCTTAAAGCTGCCGCATCTTCCTCGGCCTATTTTGCAGTGGAACTGTCAAGAAAATAAAATAAAATGACGGTATAAACATATTGAAGCAAGATGTGCTTGCTAACCCGATATTGCTCTTCTTCTGCTTCCTTAAGGCGTTTCTTGAGTGTGCGAAGTTGGGCTGAAAAGTCCTCCTACACCAGTAGATCAGACTTTATTGGTCACCAATAGAAGAAAAGGCAACAAATCAGTTACATGACGAAAAACTGACGTAGAGATTGTTTATACCCGTGCAACAACTGCTGCATCCTTTTCCATTGCGACATCCTTTAGAGTTTTTCTCAAAGATGGTACAGTGTTTTGCTCCTACAATTTAAAAGGAATAACACTATTATGGGAAATTGAACGAAAAGTTAAGTACGATCCCTTTGAATATACATTCTTCACTTTTTCTAATATTTGCTCTTAAACCAAATGCAAAGTACATCTTTGCACGAAGAAAAACAATAAAAGACAAAACATGGAGAAAATATTAGACATCCAGACATAACATACCTAGCAAAACTCCACTAACAGCTCTAGATAAAATCATTTAATTTCTAGGTTGTTAGACTCGTCATTACCAAGTTTACAAGTTAAACAACACATCTGCAAACTATTATCAATGCAGGCAATGCCCTTCCAAGTGAGAGGGGAAAAATATCAGAATGAGTATATTTCTACACTGTCAAAGAATGTTTTTCGATCAGTTCTGCTAATAGAAAGAAAAGAACTTTAAATATACAGCTGATTATCCCTTCAAAGCAAATCCAAAAGAAAATAACGAACGGAATATCTCTTACCAGATCATTCACTCGTTTTTGTAGCATGTCATTTTCAGCTTCCGTTTTCTGGAGCTGAAAATTATAGATCAACAACACAATCAGCTACAATTGATCATCAAATCTTCCTTAAGTTCAAACATTACAAGAAATACATGAAAATGAGATTAATAGTGCTACCTTTGAAATCAAATTCTTGTTCTGTTCCGCCAATTCTGCATTCTTCTTTTCTAGGTCTCTTATCTGAGCTACTAAACCACCAACATCCGTCTGCAACGGTATTTAGTTGCATAAAAATTCTAAATTTATAATGCACAACAACTAATTCCAGTGGAAACATATCAATTCTAATTAAGAGAATGGTGAAGAACAGAAAAAAAAAAAAAAAGAATAAGTTAATGATTCCTACCTCGGAAAGCCGATTTCCACTCTCTGATTTTCTGATCGGTACCAAATCTGTACAAAGGATGGGAAAAAAATTAAAAATTTATCAAAATTAACCGAAGATATAAGAATAGATACTAGATTGAATCGCACGAACCATTGGAGTTGGAAACTTTGCTGAGATCAGGGCCCGAAGAGGTCTTGCTCAATCTTTCAGCCGCTCGCTTTTGACGAATTTCTTCCAACTGGAAAACAATTCGATGTCAAGGAATCGAAAGGGATCGTTTTGACGATCCAAATCGAGAATGGAAAATGGATTAGCGCGTACCGTTCGTCGGCCTAGAGATGCGTGGTGTGCTTCCATGGCGGAAAGGAAGGAAGGAAGTTGACAGGGGACGGTTTCCCTCTTCTGCTCTTCTTCAAGCTCTGAACAGGGTCGCGTCCTCCTCTACTATAATTCTTCCGACGGTTGGCGACGAGAAGAGGGAAAGATCCAAATGAACGAGACGGTGGTTATTCATGAATGAAATTTGCAGCTTGTACACATTTTATAATTATAATTTGTGTGTTGCTGACCACGTTAACGGGCTTGTCTGGGTGGTGTAGTTGGTTATCACGCTAGTCTCACACACTAGAGGTCCCCGGTTCGAACCCGGGCTCAGACATCAAAATTATAATTTTTTTTTTTCTTTTTTTCCGCTTGTTAGCAGTATATTTTGCTATGATTGTCTGCTCCTGTATTTTTAGATATAGCTATGATTGTCTACTGCTATATTTGTTTTATCTCCTCTTGCTTTTTGGTAGTAAGGTGACGTTTGTTTTGAGAGTTTTATTTGATTTAGAATTATATTTCTTAATTTTGTTATAATATTTGGATGCTGAGTGAGACATCAATTTATATATATGTAATGTGTATATATAGTATATAGTATATATATATATATATATATTTATAGTTGCATAGTTTGCTGATGTGTAGCGAGATATATATATATATATATATATATATATTGTTTTCTCTAGGTTTTTGTTGATAAATACGATAAAGATTGTGGTTATTATGAAGTGTGAACAAAGAGAGAAAGTGTTGTGATTAATTTGGATGCCGAGTGAACAGATTACAACCTACCATGTGAGCCAAGTTCATTGATCAGGAACTCTTAGGACACATGGGTCATTTAAAGAACAAACTTTGCTAAATGTACATTGTGAGTTTCTATTTGACGTCTGAAGAAGTGTCCTCTCTCTTAATTGTAAAGGAAGAGAGTTGTAAGTTTGAAGAATACTCTGCAGACAACTAACTACCAGTAATCCCCACATGAACAAACCCCATCACGGAAATGGTGGAAACGATTTACATCTCGAACCACTATCTCTCTGTTTACGAACTTGGAAATGAACTTTGTAACAGAATGACAGTCTTCACAAAGCCTCAAGTTCTTGGATATCCGAATCACCTCACCATTGTTGGTATTGATTAGTCCAAATGCGACTGCTAATTTTTCACTGTGGCCTAATAAAACTCGCTCCTTCTCTTCCTCCTCGAGATCATAGAGCACAATTCCAGTTTGTGGCACGTATCCCCTATCTTTCATCTCGGTTGACAATTTCACCAACAAAGCGTGGACCTGTTCGCTCTGGTGGTTAAACTCGTCAACAGACAAGAATGAATAGACTTTCTTCCTAACTTCAATCCAGCTACAACCTGGGACCTTTTGTAGTTTCTTGGCTTCTAAAAGCTGCTTCACTCTTTTTACCTCACCCCACATCTTTGCTTCAGAATAAATATCAGCTAGAAGTACATAATTCCCAGCATTTCTAGGCTCCAACTCAAATAACCTTTTACATGCTCTCTCTGCAAGACCAACATTACAGTGAATCTTGCATGAGCCAAGAAGAGCGCCCCAAACCTTAGACCCCGGTTCTATTCTCATATCCTCTACAACTTTGGCTGCTTCGTCTAATCGATTAGCACGTCCAAGAAGGTCCACCAGACAAGCATAGTGCTCCATACTAGGATACATCCCGTGCTCTCTACACATCGAATCAAATAGCATCTTCCCCTCAACAACAAGACCTGCATGACTGCAAGCCCCTAAAACACTTATAAATGTAATCTCATTCGGTGATACTCCATTGGAGATCATATCTTTGAAGATTTGAATTGCCTTCCTTCCATATCCGTGAATCCCGTAACTTGAAATCAAGGAATTCCATGACACGACATCCCTCTTGTCCATTTGATCAAAAACCCGTTGCCCAATTTCAAGCTTTCCGCATCTTGCATACATAGTCACAAGAGTACTCATAACTGGCAATATCGAATCAAGACCCCTTCTAAGAATATATCCATGAATCAATTTTCCCTGCTCCAGAGCAACTATAGCTGCGCAGGCCTGCAAAACACTAACCATTGTCACTGAATTGGGAAGTGAATCCCGGTTCTCAAGTGTCATTTCCCAAAAAAGCTCCAACGCCTCAAAGGGCCTCTCATTCTTCACATAACAAGCAATCATAGCGCTCCACGACACGACATTCTTCATCGGCATCTCATCAAACACGCAACTGGCATTCAAAACACACCCGAACCTCGCATACATATCAACCAAAGTAGTCATAATATGGACACACGCCTCAAACCCACGTCGCAGAACATGAGCATGAATCTCCTTACCCTTCCGAAGGAGAGAAATCGAGCTCTCCGACGCAACACAAGCCTTGAGCACGTACGTATACGTAAACCGATCCGACTCAATCCCGGACGACCAATTCATCCGACAATACAACTCGAAAACATCCATCCCATGACCCGCCAAAGCAAGCGCTCTAAAAACCGCATTCCAAACATATATAGTTCTATTCCGCGTTTTATCAAACACCTTGCGTGCATCGTCTATGGAGTCCAGTTCCGAATACATGTTGATAAGTTTAGTGGCCAAGAAAGGGTCTTGGCCCGACCCATCATCGACAAGATGGCGATGGACTTGAAGCCCACATGACAGAGACTCATGGCGGATGCAAGAGAGGATTAAGAGCTCGTAGGTGTGTTGCGTGGGGTTGGGCTCGTGAGGGAGGAGTTTAAGGGCTTGTCTGAGGTTGCCTTGTTTACAGAGGGACTGAATCAGCTTGTTCTTGTCGTTGGTATCTTTCGTTGTGGAGATGGAAGGTTTTATGGTTATGGAGGAGATTGGAGGTTTGGGAGAGTTGCGAGGAGAGAAGTTGCTCAAGTGGGCGGTGAAGGTAGGCGGTTGGGCGGTGTGGGAAGCGGGGAAACCCCACATCACCGATTCAACATCAGAATTATCTTCTTGGTGTTCTTAGAGTGATAAAACGCCTCCGACTCTGTCGTCTCGTCCTCTTTAATTTGAATCCTATACGAATATATGTGACGATAAATATGATGGGCAAGATATTTTTCTCATCCACGTTTTTGTCATTTTGCTATTACAGATTAAAAAAATTTTAATACTTTTTAATGAGAAAAATAAGATACCGATAATTTTTTACGTTAAATTTATATTAAAAGTTATACGTTTATGTATTTTTTAAATTAATTTAATTTTAACAAAATCTGATGATAAAAAAACTGATCCTATCATTAAAACGGTCTACAGAGAACTCCTAGTAAATCTATTAATCAACACTGGTTATAACTTATAAAGATACGAGGTATTATCCACTGTGGTAATCGCCATTAGACGAAAAATGATTCCTGCAGTTAGAGTTGAGCACACCACCTCACCAGCTTTGGTGATCATTGCCACCGAAAATAAAGGGTGTTTAGAAATAAAAACCAAGAAACCGGGAAAACTAATAAGTGAACTAAATCAAATCAGTCAGGACCGTTTAGTTTTTACTTTTAATTAATTTGGTTTGGTAACTCTTCTTTTTAATTTGGTTTAGATAGCGATTTGTTTTGAGAGTTTCCAACATTTTTCTATGGGGTGAAGAATAACATTTTTATCTTTCTTAAAGTTTCCAATGCTGTTTGACGTTAATTTCTGTAATTATTATGCGTGGACGCACAAGTCTCCTCCAACAGTGGCTTGTTCTTTCTTTTTATTCATTGTTATCATAACCAACATTTACCAAAATCTTTTCGAAGATTATGTAGCTTGATCTCGGAATTGTTTGCTACGGCCTACGGGAGATGAGCACCAAAAAACTGCAGCCACAAAACTGTTTAACCAATGTGCGTCCACTTCAGCTCTAATCGTGTAGCAGTTATGGAGTCCCATCGCAAGACCCATAGTGGCAAAAATATGACTCAAATACTCAAAATTCGATACATTGGGGTCGGATCTTTGCCAAATATCTCACCGAAGGATCCATGGATTAGGTCCGGCTTTCGGGCTATGCTTCAAGGGTAGATGAACTCACCTTTAGCTTTCAGTGACTTCAATGCCAGAAAGTAATATTATTTTCAAACAATGCAAATGTCTTATGGCTATCATAGTTAAGTATCTGGGGGCAAATGCACATAATCAAGGTATACCTGTCGACGGGGGCACACATGAACATAGACTTGAGCACGGATTTTATAAGGAGTATAATTAACAGGTTACATAACGGTCATTGAGGACAAACAAGTGACAGGAGTTTTAGCAAAGACTTTACTAAGAGGCAAGGGAACAGCAGACAAAATTGAAAATTCAGCAGACAAGTTTTTTCCACCTTGTAGTGCAACACAGAGCACATTTACCTACTCAAACTCTAAAACAGGAGCTAAAAGAGATGATACTTTACAGTCAACTAAGCTGCTGCAGGATCATTTATCACACCCAAGAAATCATCTTTTATCGTTCCGATGCAAAACTGCAAAAACAAAACAAAAAGAAACAAATAAAAAATAGAAACATGTTAAAAGCAAGGATTTTAAGTTTAGAATAATATAACCAGTATAGCTAATTCAAAGCAATAAGTCTCCCAGTGATATAAAAGAATTGCATACTTCATTTGTTTCCATGTTATACACTATCTGTCTCAGATATTTCAGAAGCAGAAAATTTCCTTTTCTTCCAAACTAGATTAATCATAGGCTGAATCTTAACAAAAAAAAGGAAACTTCTTGACAAGATATAAACAGGCATACAATTTCTGTAGCATCAACTCTAGTCCCAATAATCTTTAATCTCACTTCACTGTCCTTCTGTATCTTAACCTGCAAGACCAGAAATCAGTTCATGCATACCATTCTGAACTAGAATTGATAAAAACTATTTCAGTTTTCATCGTAAGATAAAACTGGAACGTACTGATCCATCTGAAGTTGTGTAGTTTGGCATATCTCCGGATTGGAACTCCATATCATCGGGTATCAACTAGAGAAAATGTCAAAAAAGTAAGTAAATCTCTATATCAAGCTCATAAGGATAAAAGAAATTGTAATGCCCGAGATTTAATTAAGCTTTAAGTCAATAATAAATAAATTTAGTAAATTAAAATCATGCATCACATTTACCATTTATCTCAAAGTTATTTGTTGGCATTATATTTTATTATTATAGCTATCATATGATTTTATTAAACTTATAGCTTTGCTAATCAAGTTTTCAGTTTTAATGTGCAGTGCAACTAACTCGATATAGGAACTCAATGTGCTAAACTTATGAAGAAAAAATGATATTTATTATGATTATTTGATATGATATTTTACCTCTATTATGATTGATTTAATGATGAATTATTATTTTATATTTTTATTATATGGTTTTATGTAAATGTGTTGAGGACTTAACTGCTATTTTGAGTTTTTGTGAGAGAAGGCTATGTTAGCAAATTGAGTGAGCTTTAGGCACCTAATTGAAGAAGAAAAATAGAGACTTTAGAGCTGATTTTATGAGGTTATGGCAGCTATTAGAGGCTTAGAAAAACTTAGACATTTGTCCTACTATAAGGTCACTTTACTTTTGCTTGGTTTCTATCATGTTTAGACTTCATTTTTGAGTCTATTTCAGCAAAAAAGCCTAGAACTCCGACCATAACATTTTCTTCTCTCCTCTCACTCCTTTTCTCACCCAAAACTCATAATCAAACCTAGGTTTTCAAGAGAGAATGAGCTAAAAACTCAAGCAGTCCATTTCAACTCGTTTTTCAACCTAGAACAAAAATTAACCATCAAGGTTTTGAGCTTCTATTCACTTGGGAACAAGTTTTTCTTTGATGCAACTTTTTTCTTATGTTAGAAACTAAGATTTCAGAGATTAAGATGTTGAAATCCTACTTGAGATTCAGATTTTTGATGTGACTTATCATGCATGTTAGTTGTAGACCCTTAAAAATGAATTTCTTGAGGTTTTGGTTCAAATATTGGTTTCTGGGTGAAATTAATAATTTTAGCTTGATATTATTGATGATTATTTGAAGATAAACTCTTATTAGGATGATGATTCATGTATTTGAGAGTGGGTCATTAAAGATTAAGATCTGCATGCTAAGTATTTGATGAAATGTTCAAATATAAGTCCTCTGTACAGCTTATGTAAATTCTGTTTTCGTGCTATATATATTTATGATTTTGACTGATCTTATATTTTTCTATTAAATTATACATCTCACGCTTTACGTGAGTATTTTAATCACTCTAAACGGATTTTTCTACATTTAGTTATGAATTTTATAAGTTCAGCTAAAAAATTGTCATTTTCCTGACGAGATTATACTTCAATCCGGATTTCGGGCTGTTTTTGGTTAGTTTGAAAAATCTGAAACCTATCATGTAGTAGTTCTAAAAAGAGGGTTTTGAGTCTACCTTTATTTGCCACTGGTCTCATAATATTTTGAGTTTTGATGAATTTGTTATGAATATTTTCGTAACAATGCGCAGTTATGTGTTTTGTTAAATGATTATATGAATGTGATTTTTGAAAGCTATGATTTTTAAAGGTTAATTAGCACATTGAAGACTCCCCACAACCAACTAGTTTGTGCTTGCAAAGTGGTGATCGAAATTCAAGTATAGTTAAAAGCATTTTCAAAACTGCATCACAAGACCTATTTGACAAAATAACTTGTTTAGAATTGTGATTATGCAAGTTTATTCTCTTATGAAATTCTTATATGATTATGTTCAAAGAGTATTCATGATTAATTATTTTGAAAGAGATTATGATGTTTGCTTATTATGTTTTTATGTTTTAAGAGATTTTATGGTATGGTATATGGATGAGAGGCTGGGTAAGAATAGGAACATAATTCAACTGGAAGTCTGTTTTATTGAATATTAATCAACTTTCTAACTTCAATGAGCTCAAACAAGGCTCCCGATTAGCAAGAATGGAAAATACAGGAAAAATAAAGATAGGAATTTTCGAGGAACCCCACAACCTCCCAAGCTTACAGCCGAGTTACCAGAATTCTCCACGCCGTTAATGGCGACATAACGCTCCGCGCGGAACACCCACCCGTATGGATCTTCCCCTTGGAATATCGGCAGCTCCAGTCTCCTTCCCCGGTGATCGTTCCTGCCGCGGACTCGATCTGGCAAGTCGTTTTGTCTCCCTCGCTCACGGTCGCGCCCTTGCTCCCGCCATGGTGGTACCGGCAACTAGGCTTCCAGGCGGCGACCAAGCATGGTCTCCAGTCGGTGGAGTGACCCTTGAATGCCCTCGATCCGGGTTCCCAAGGCCACGACGTCCTCTTGTAATTGAGGAACATGGTCCACTATAGCTCTCATCAACTGAACCGTATCTCTGATCGCCTCGAGACTTCCCTCTAAGCTAGAGATGCGCTCTGTGGTATTGTTCGCCGGTGTACCTTGAGCCATGGATCAAGACTCTGATACCAAATTGTTAGGATCCTGGACTCAAAAGAGTAGTAAACCTACAAGAATAGGAGCATAATTCAACTGGTAGTCCGTTTTATTGAATATTAATCAACTTTCTAACTTCAATGAGCTCAAACAAGGCTCCCGATTAGCAAGAATGGAAAATACATGAAAAATAAAGGTAGAGAGGGATTTTCGAGGAACCCCACAACCTCCCAAGTTACAGCCGAGTTTACCAGAATTCTCCACGCCATTAATGGCGAAATAACGAATTGTTATAACCCTTAGGTAGAACTCATCCCCAAAAGCTAGCTTGTAGGGAGAGGGTGTCCAAGTGGTTATAAACCCACATGCTAAGCTCATACTTTAGCAATGTGGGACTCAACCAGGATCCTAACATACCACCACGCTTCCGACACTGACGTCCACGGCGGCCTACTCTGGATGGCCCCCTTTGCCCCTCCCTAGGTCGCCCCTTCCGCAACGTGGGCTTGAGGAGGAGCATGCTCTGATACCAATTGTTATAACCCTTGGGTAAAACTCATCCTCAAAAGCTAGCTTGTAGGGAGAGGGTGCCCAAGTGGTTATAAACCCACATGCTAAGCCCATACTTTAGCAATGTGGGACTCAACCCTTTTTCAATAGTCTTAAGGAGAGTATAAATAGGGGGGTTTTAGTTGCTAGGGGGGATAATCAGATTTGTAGAGAGTGTCTAGTGCTGTGCACTATTTTAGAGGTCGGAGGTTCTCGAAACCGCCCTTCTATCTTGTAATTTTCCATTTCTAGTATTGTTAATGAAGCATAGATTTTCAGGTTCCTAACAATGATATCAGAGCATCTACGATCCACGGAGCTCTTTGAGTTGAAAGAGAAACTTAGGGCCGCTCTAAGAGCTAATCACAAGGTCTCTGGAGGGAGTATGGGGGAACTCCGGGACCAAGTGGGGAAGATTCGGACCTAGATGGGTGACTTGCAGGCGGCTCTGCGGAGGATGGAGGCACTGCTGGTGGCGCGGCTGATGGCCGGAGAGGCCGAGTTGGGTCGCGACGGTGAACGACGGGACGGGGAGAGGTGACATCGCGCGCCTCAGGGCGAGGAGAGCCCAGATCGCATCGACCTAGGCAGAGTGGAGGTGCCAAATCGGGCGGATCTTCGCCGGGAAGCGCCAATTCGCGAAGATCGAGGCCGCAAGAGGGAGTTCCGATGCCGGAGAGACGTGGGTCTCATGGAGGAGCGCAAGATCCGTCGCGATCTGGGGCTGGGAGGTCCGGATCTGCAGCGCGAGGGTTTGTTCGACGACGGGAGGAGGGCAGAAGGAGGTCGCGACCGTCGGGAGAGGGCGGCGGAGCTTGGTCGGCGACGGGAAGTGGAGTGGGAGCCGGAGTTAGAGGAGGAGAGGCTTGCTCCGAGGCTGGGACGGCATGGGTACCCTCCGAATAGGGAACCCAGCCCTGATTGGGTCGCGGTTGGGGCTGATTCCGGACCGGTTTGGACCGGGCCTCGCGATTCCGGCGTGAAAAGGGCTGGTTCCGGTGCTACAGAGACAGATTCTGGCGCGACGGAGGCTGGGCTCGACGATTTGGCTGTTGTTTGGATAGGGCCTCACGATTCCGGCGTGAAAGGGGTTGATTCCGGTGCTGCAGAGGCAGTTTACAGGGGGATTGTAGTGGAGTCCCACAATTCCAACTCCATTAAGGCTGATCCTGGTTAGATTGGTGTTGTTTTCGAAAATTCCGGCCAAATTTGGAGCGGGTCTCATGATTCTGACGCTGTTGAGGGTGTTTCCGGTGAGGTTGGGGCTGATTCCGGCCCGGTTTGGCTGGGCTTCGCAATTCCGGCGTGAAAGGGGCTGGTTCCAGTGCCACGGAGGCAAATTCTGGCGGAATTGGAGTGGGACCCATGAATTCCGACGCCTTTAAGGCTAGGTTTTGTGATTTTGACGCCATTGGGGCTAGCTCTGGCGAGATGATGGGACGTGGAATTCCGACGCGAAATCCAGCGATTTTGGGGCTGAATCCCGAAATTCTATTCGGAAGTGGGCTGGGTCTAATGTTTTTGGTATGGGCAGAGTCAATTTTGAGGTTGAGCCTTGTAATTACAACGTTAATTGGCCTGATTCTGGTGCAATGGCAGTCAAACTTTAACACGTTTGGGGTTAGGAATGGTACGATTGTAGCTGGGTATGAAGAAATTGGTGAGAGTGAGGCTGAAAGGTTGATGTCCTAGTTGGCTAAGAAGGAAACTCCCTTAGTGAGGATCGATTTGTCAATATTTTTTGTGACCATTGATGAGCTTGCGCAAAGAGTTTCAAATGAATTAATAGACTCTGTGGTTGCTTTTCAAGATACAAAGAAAATGGAGAAGTAATTGATTGGCTCTAATTTGAAGACATGACTTACGAGAACAACATCAATTTGGGAACTCAAATCAATGAATTAACAAAGCCTTTTGTTCTTAATCATTTAGATGTTATTTTTTAATTTTATTTCTTGATTTTCACCTTGAGGAGGTGATTCTTTGGGACAGGGGTAATGTTAGGAACCTAATATTTAGAAGTCTTTTTCAATAGTCTTAAAGAGAGTATAAATAGGGGGGTTTTAGTTGCTAGGGGGGATAATCAGATTTGTAGAGAGTGTCTAGTGCTGTGCACTATTTTGGAGGTCGGAGGTCCTCAAAACCGCCCATCTATCTTGTAATTTTCCATTTCTAGTATTGTAAATGAAGCATAGATTTTCGGGTTCCTAACTGTCCTGTATAGAGAGACTTACTTAGAACCGAAGTTCTGTATCATACCTAAACTAAGAATAAGTATGAAAATTTATGAACAATGTTTAACAAAGAGATTTTAGCCACGGAAATTTTAAATACTTACTTTATTTGAAATCTACTAACTAGTTTTTGCTCATTAGTTTTACCTTGTGATGCATATGATGTTATTACCGAAGAGTAAAAAAAATGATTTCCAAGGTTGGCTGAGTACTCCAAGTCCTACATCTGGCATCTTGCTTATATGTACTTCCAAACAATAGATGGGCTCAAAATGTTTTTTTTTTGTTACTATGTCGCTTTTGAATAACTGTTTAATGTCTAAGATTTGTGATTGTAATTATTTTGCGCACTGACTTATTTTGTTCAAAAACCTTTAGGGGGCGTTTGGTATGGGGTAATCATAGGGGTGGTAATGGGAATCTTTCATATTCCCATGTTTGGTACAATTATTAGACTTTTTTAAAACACAGGAAAGTGAAGTCCATGGGTTTCACATTACCACATTTTGGGGTAATCCTAAACCCACCCAACAGGGTGTTATTTACTTTCCCAGGAAAGTAATATTCATGGGAAACCTCTCTCTCGTCCATTTCTCTCACCCACCATCTCATCCATCTCTCTCTCTCGACCATTTCTCTCACCCACCTATCTCATCCATCTCTCTCTCTCTCGTCCAGATCCAACCTCTCTCTCGTCCAGACCCAAGATTTGTGATTGTAATCATTTTGCACACTGACTTATTTTGTTCAAAAACCTTAGAAAAATTTTGTGATGAAATCAACCACAAGTTTCCGCATTTTAAGAATAATATTGTTTTAAGTATAGAAAGTATGTTTTAAGTAGTACTACTTCGCTAAATTCGGTCTTAGACCGGTTTAGCGTTAGGGGCGTTACAGAAACATAACAAATTGCAAGACACTTGGTGCATAAAAGCATATTCAGAAGAAATGTAAAATAAAAATAGAAGAGTAGAATAGGAACTCTCACGAAGTCACAGAGTATCTGAGAATTTAAAAGAACAAACAAAATAATGACTTAAAATAAAAGCAAAACTGATTCTGCAGCATCACTAAAAAGTGTGATAAACATATGGAATTTCTTGACACAAAAATACACCCATAGTTCATTCCTGTTGCTGGAATCACAAGTATAAGAGGCAGGAGATATAAGGGTAGGCTGTAAGGGAACGCCACACAAGAAGATAAGGCCATGAAAGTCACAGATTATTCTAGAGTAGGAAGTGCAAGAAATGCGAGATCTTCCACGATAGCAAAAACAAAAAGAAGGAATATTATTCAACCGACACACACAAAAGAAAATGAGGAATTAAACTTACATGGTTCGAAACAAAAATTTGAACTGGTCCAGCTTCAGCAAAAAATCCCATCTGTAAATCAACATATATCATTCCGCCATGCCACCATCTTTTGAAAAATGTAGATTCATAACATTAAAAAGGAGCAAGTTGTTAGCAACAAAGAACAACATACAATACCTTGTTTACCATGGAAACAACCGCTTCTAATATCTCTCCTTTAAACGGTCTAAAGACAACACACTGATACTTCACTGGAAATGTCACGAATCCTGTACCATCACGAATGAGTCCTTTTCCAATGTTCTCAATGCCCGTTATTGCCACGACGAAACCATGTCGTCCACTGCAAAAAAAAAAAAAAAAAAAAAAAAAAAATGTTACAAGTGATAGGAAAATAACTTCTCCTCTTTCCAAAATTGTCTTTAGGAGTGAAGACATTGTCCCCATCTTTTCGGGTATTTTACGGTGTATGAACACAATTCCAGATCCAAGGATTGATACCAAAAAAAAAAAATTACTGGATCATGAATGGGAGAAAGTAGACGAAACATGGCACCTTACATATCGAAAAACTAACTTGGGCAATCAAAATTCTGAAAATAAAAATAAAAATAAAAATAAATCACTGATCTCTATGCCCTCTTGGTTCTTTAAGACCAAAACATGAACTTCGAAAAACTTTTATTTACTGAAGACTATAATCAAAATGGTGCCAACAACAAAGCACCAATAGTATTTTAACTTCTCATTATTCAATCTTAGTAAGCCATAAATCCTCAAAAACCGACCTTTCCACGTTCAAATTCTCATTCCACATCGATCCAAAACTCTAAAAGAAACTAAAACAATGCGTATAGATTCCAACAATAAATATTTCATCTCCATTTTCTTTGTTTTACCAGCCAAACTAATTGTTCCCTAGGAAAAACAACCGAGTTAAGTCAAATTGAAGGTAAAATCCGCGACAAGAAAATCAGCAGATAAACTCTAGGGTTTCAAGAAGATCGGCAGATAAATAAACAGTCATAAGAGATGACCAAAAGGCATCCCGCAATTCCTATTTTCCCTCGGTTTTCTAGGCAGCCAAACAGATTGAAAAGAAGGAGAGAGAAAGGGAAACCTGCAAGTGCCCTCGACACCTTTCATGAGCTTGGAGACGATATTATCTCGGAGGTTGCGGCCAAAGTGGCGCGGGTGAAGCTGTATATTCCTCTCCAGTACTATGTGGAAGAACATCTCTACCTTTCCTTTGATGCTAATTTCTCTTCTGTTTCTCTGATTCCTATTCCTTTACCGGTCAAAGAAGAGAATTTGGCTACGCAACTGCAGGACAGCCAAGATGGAGATTCCGAAATTGTTTTGTAATTGTTTTATTGAACTAAACATCGTTTTTTTTTTAAAAAAAAGAGTAAATTGCATGTTGCACCCTAAACTATTCCTTTTTTTACATAATAAGCCCCATACTTTTGAAAAAATACACTCTGAATTTTAAAATCAAGTACAATTAAGTCTAATAGGTGATGACGACGCTATTAAATTGACAGTTAGAGACGCAAGATTTACCAGTGATATGGTTTAAAAATCAATGATCTTTGCCTTTTATGAGCATATCTTGTGTTTTAAACCGTTAATGTGATAATATTCGTTAATTATTGGATTTCAAGTGCAATTATCCGGCGTGTAAAACTAGTATAGAGTGTAACAGTACATTTTATTCTTTCAAAAATAACCCTTTAGGAATTCATTTTGTTTTATTTTGTCCATTTATTTTGAAGGTTTTACATTTCGACTACCCTCTTTTTTATAAAAATTTGAGAGAGATGGTCATTTGGTCACTATTTTGTAAATTGTGGATGAAATAACCCAGGTAACTCACATGCCTTCAATTTTAAAGGGATTGTTTTACATTTTTGTACTTTCTATTTTGAGTTTATAGAAAAATAGAATGTACAGGATGTTAAAATTAAAGAGGGACTGAAAGTGTATTATTTATATAGTTTTGAGATTATGTTTAGGGACAAAGTGAAACACCATTATTTCTCAGGGGCCGAAATTAAATTAATTCTTTGTTAATTTTACTAAATTACCCACATCAAAAGCATCACGTGCACCTCATGCTTATTCCATCTTTTTTTTAACGGTTTTATAACAGAAAGACCATAAGTGCAATGATTGTAAAGCTCGAGAGCCATTAGTGCGACATTCAAAAGTTTAGGGAGACAAAGTAAAACAACAAATATTTCTTAGGGTCAAAATTGCAATTATTTAAGGGAGAAAAGTAGATTTTATTTTTCTTTTTCGGACATTTTTGTTTCAAACTGCTTCTTGAAATCAATTCTTAGTTTATATTATTTGGGAAATAATTTTAGACGCCCCGAAAGAAATCTCTGCAGTCCAGTAGTCTACTGTCACACGTAAAAACGACACTGAGGTTGCACTTGTTAAAAATCCTTAACCGACTGCATCTTGAGCACATCTCCTCAATTATCTAACAGAACTGGTTGATGGAATTATGTACGATGCCAAGCTATAAACTTCTCCATGGCAAACTTTTCTACGGTCAGGTTCAGAGTTCTGGAGAACGGAACACTTGGGAGACGAGGAGGACAGATGAAGGAACAAAATGGGTGTCGCTAAAATTCATGATCGATGCTGAGTGATTTTGGAATAGCCTATGACATACGGAGAACACTCAGAAATTAGAATGAACAAAATGGGAGAGAAATCTAACTAGGACAAAGATCAATCTGAACACTGGCTCCAGTCAGTCTGTGCCCGTTATGTATCTGCACAGAGAAAAATGGCTGGGAAGCCTGTGGCATCCATGTTTGAATGCAGGGACCAACACAGGCACTCATCGCGAGATCAAAGCCAAGGAGTGAAACGTTTTGCCCAGGGGCAGGTTGTTCATTGACTACAGGTGCAGTCATTTACAAATCAAATGTATTTACAGCAAGCACCATAAATCTGTGAGGAAGTCGTACTAATTTAAGAAGTGTGTAAAATCAGGCCTTTTTAGCCACTTCCCTAGAAAAAAAGTCAGCTTTTAAAACCGAGAAGTCCCAGAGCTCCGTTCATTATACAACAAAAATTTGAACAAACAACTCATCTCAACATGACACGACGATATCCAATTCGCAATTCCTTTCGAGTTTGAAGAGCTTCAAAGCCAGTCTTTTGTCTTCAACTGTTTTATCCTGAATCAATGAATCGAAAATAAGCAAGTAAAGTTTCAAAGTGGTGAAACTGCATAATGCTAAACTAACTAGGGGCATGAAGGTATTCCAACGCCATAGAGAGAGCATAAGCAGTTCAATTGTACCGGCTAAAGTTTTAACTATAACTCCTCTATTTTCTAAAGATTTTTCTCCTTTATCTTGTAGTTCTCAATTTTCAAAAATCTTGACAATAAACTCTACCTAAAGGAATGGATCAGCAGGCACAAAACATCAATTGTCCCAATAACTATCCGTTCAAACCACAAATACAAACTATAAATTACTGTTCCCTTTTTACTAACACCAAAATTTATCTGATTAAACAGTACTCCATCTCAAATGCACACAACATCAGCATAACATACCTATCTTTTTGTTTCTTGTCCGTTCTGTGAAACTACAAAATGCAAAGGGGAGAATAGAAGGTGGTATGATTTCAACATAATGAAAAAATAAACAAAAAACAAAAAAACGAAAAACACGAGTTGCATCACTGAAATAAGACAAACAACAAATTCTGATGTAAAGGTAAGAATAGCATGAAACTTACACTAGCAATCCTAAGGGGATCAAGACTAAAGTCTTCACACCATTGTTGAACCAAACCTAGATTTTCTCTCAGCAGGCTTCAGAATTTGGAAAGAGCACATTAAACTTTCATCGACGCTCATCATTGCACCAGCATTATCAAACTCACCACAGTAGTTAGGAGCAGAAAATATTGTAACAAGCTGTCTATCAGCAAAGAATTCGTATCCATCCTCAACAACCTGGAAGAGTAAGAATCTTATAAAACTGCTTGAGCCAATAAAAAAGGGGCGGGGTAACAAAAAAGTGACGGAAAATCAGCAACTAACCTGATGGGCACGACAAACAAGATCCATATCATGCTTTGTTAAAAATTCTGCAACCTTATCTGAACCAAAGGTGTATGAGACTCCACGGTCATTCATTCCCCAGCCTTTGACATCTCTACCAGGATCTGACCAAAGTAAATCACAAAGCAAACCAGAATCTGGAACATCAGTTGGACGAGGTATGTTCCTAATTTGATCCAAATGTGTTAAATCAGGAGAAAGGCCGCCGTGCATGCACAATATTTTATCATCTATGAGTGCGGCCACAGGAAGACAGTTAAAACAGTCAGTAAAGGTCTTCCAAAGTCTGACATTGAACCGGCGTTTACACTCATCATAAAACCCATAAATCCGGTTAATTGAGGCACATTCATGATTTCCTCTTAGTAGAAAGAAGTTCTCAGGGTACTTAATTTTGTAAGCAAGCAATAGGCAAATTGTTTCCAAACTCTGTCTGCCACGGTCCACATAATCCCCCAAGAATAAATAATTAGCATTGGGAGGAAAACCACCATATTCAAAAAGCCTCAAGAGATCGGAATACTGCCCATGAATATCACCTGGAAGACAAACCCAAAACAATAAGAAAAGGAAAAAAAAAAAACGTATACGTCAGTGATACTCAACTCTGTAAAGTATGATGATCTGAATCATATTATATTATGCACCAAAAAGGAAGCAAAACTAAGGAGGTCCATGAACATGATTGGGTTCCATCCGTCTGTAAAACTAAGGAGGGAGTAACACAGCATCAACAGAAACACAATTTCCAAATAAAAAGTCAGGCAGACAAATGCAAACATATTATGTAACTCTATCATTAGAGTTGATGCAGAAACAGCTTTGAGACATCAAATCAGCATAAAATACAGTCGACTCTTTCAAGTATATGTTTCTTGAAAGAAAATAGATGATATGAAGGTCATACTGCGACAGCAAAGATCAAAGCATATAATCGAGGGCCTATGGGTGATATGCAATGCAGGGTTCCATTCCTTAGACCCGCTACATAGTACCATCTTCCCAATTTCACAACTTATTAAAAAACATGTTCACAGCTTTTGACCCGTCAAAGTTCCTAGCATCTCTACCAATTTTATCAAGTGCATGACTTCGGTTTGTCGCATAATACTGAAGGTGAACAATCAAAGTTGTTTTCTAAAGTTATATTTATTTCAATTTTATTCACTAAACACTCCCCTATTTACTCTCAAACACACACTTATAGAAAAAGAATTGAACAATGGAATGATATATTGTGTTCATTACTGTCATAAATGAGAGAGGCAGGTAGATGAGACAGCCAAGTTGTGAGTTACAAGTTACAACTTAAAAGGGAAAGAAAAAAAAGAGACACCTAGATTTGGGTTTTGTTATGCTGATAAGCTTCATGTTACAATGTAGAATATAGTGACATAAGAAACATCAAGAAATCACACCTATAATCCAAGCCCATGAAAAACAGGTGACTAAGCAGAGTTTTATGTTTACATACTACAAATAGCATGCAGAAGCAGTGATTTTGATGGATATGCAATCAAGAACCACCTTTAAAGATCATAAAGTAACAATACGACTGTCTGAAATAAACTAATGGATGAACACAATACTACACAATTTGAACATATGGTATTGACGGAATGCGCGTACAAATGAATACATATATCTCTTTAACAAATTGAACATAATAGATCATCAAAAGGAAAAAAAATGGCAATATGGTGGGGGAAATGAATTGATAACTTTTGCAAAACATATAATCAGAAAAACTTATTCAATTTCCACAACAACAATAAATGGCAATCAACAACGACCTTTACACAAAAACCCTCAAAATTAACCAATAGACGATATTCATAAAGAATGCTGATTTACACTTGCTGAAAGCAAAAAACCTATATGCTGGTATCCTGATTTTCATCTCACACTCATCAACTAAGTTCTCAATCTCAATAAAGCCGATTTATTTAAAATGACAGACCCATGTCCCAAAAAATCCAAAATGGGAGAAAAAAATAAAAAACTAACTAAAACACCCACATTTTCAAGTAAACATTTCGATTCAAGCCCACATCTCAAAACCCCATAACCGATCAAAAAAGCACAAAAAAATTAACAATGGAAAGCTTACAAATTTGAGAAAAACCAGATTGACCCAGAAACAGGAAATGAAAATAAACCGCACCGCAGATCTTGATGGGGGCTTCGAGCTCGAGAAGATTGGGCTGTCGGAGGAAGATTTCTCTGGAAACGGCACAGAGCTGTCGGATCTCGCTCTCCATGAGCTGAACCTGCTTCGCCGGCCGAGCTTGTCGGAACTCCAACAATCTGTTGATAATGTCGTCCAGTACGGCAGGGTCTATCCCACCCTGCCCTTGTTGTGCCATTCAGATTAACAGATCTCCCACCTCTCTCTCTCTCTCTCTCTCTCTCTCTCTCCCCTTCTTTCTCTCTCTCCTCACAAAAAAAATTCAAAAACAAAAAATAAAAAACCAAAAATTTTTCAAAACGGAAAAGAACCCACCTTTGCTATTGTGCTAGCGAAGGTGCTGTTCTATTTTCCTCCTGTTCTTCTGGCTCGATTTCGGCTCCTTCCCTTCATACTCTCTCTGTTTTTTTTTTTTTTTTTGGGTTTCTTTTTGTTTTTGGTTTTGGGCGTATGTGGGTGGGTGAATAAGGCTGCTTTGGGAAAAGAGAAGTGGGGAGGGAAGAATGTGGCTTAATTATTTTTTATTTTTTTGTCTATTTTAAGAAACGCAATTATTCAAAAGTAAATGATTAATTAATTTCATAGGAAAATAATAAAAGGAAAAAAAAAACTAAAGAGGACAACTTTGGAGATAGCAGTAGGTAATAATAAATGGAGGTGGAATGGGGACTTTGCTTGGGAGAAGTCGAAATGGGATGGAATGGAGAAAGTAGACTGCAATTCCTATGCGGCGGAGGTGCCTATATCTATGAATCTTCACCTCCTATATCCTTTTCCTCAATCACTTGTAGCATGAATTCGCATCGATAATACAAGTTTTTTTATTGTAAATACAATTAAAATGATTTAAAAAATATGTAAAATATATTATTTATAATATAAATTTAACCGTTTAAAATATACTTATTTCGTCATTCTTTTTTTAAGTCTTACCGTAGTATTTTTTAAGGTTTGAAATGTAAGTAGGAAAACCTCAAAATAAGTAGGAAATTTAAGGTTTGATTTGAAAAAAGAAAACACTCTCAATAAGTCATTATAAAACTCAATTCAATTCTTTTTGCTAATCCCCTCAATTCATTTGTAATATATATAATATATACCAACTCATTGTCGGCTAACATTGTGTTACGAATTTAAGATTTAACACAATCCATTAATTTATAAAACTAATAATTTATGTACGTGAGCGGTAAGGAATCTAGAAAATTATTTTAATAAGGACATTTAGCTAACGAAATGAAATATACTATTATTCCGTTCATTTCACCGATTCAAGTTTAAAATTTGAGTTTTGTTACAGTAAAAAGTTCTCATAAACAATCACATCTAATTTTTTTACTACAGTAAAAAGCTCTCACATAAAATCACATCTCAACTCAAATTAAAAACTCAAATCAGCGAACTAAACAGGCCAGTCATTCTTATATTGTAACGGATTACATTACTTTGTTTTTTTTTTTTTTAATCATCAATGGACGACTCCATACCCCTTTCTATTATGCGTGGTAGGTTGGCTAGTTTGTTGGGGCGGTGTGTGCCCGCTGAGGTTTAAAGGGAAGAGCTATCTTTTTTTTTCTTTTTTTTAATCCGTTGATGACAATGTTCTCTTTTTAACCCTAATGTTCACAACTAAAGCTTCCGTTTCTACACAACCTATTCCAAACTCAATCTCACTTTTGTTTTCCTCTCTAGATAGACTGATTGGAATGCTATTTTCACACACTTACTACTATAAATAATGAGTGTCTCCTTAGTTTTAGGTGTAAGGCAATGCTCATCATAAGTTTACCATGTCAAAGAGTAAATTTTCAAGCCTAAAGTCTTCTTAGTAGCCGAATAGCCCAACTTAGGTGGAAGATCCTTAACACAAGAAAAATGGAGGACGATTATGAATGGTGAATTTTTTACCCTTCTAAGAAATGGCATATAGTCATTAGTTCTAAGAAATGGCAAGTGAGGAAGGCAATAGGTGTATGAATTAAGGGAGAATCTTAATAGAAAATTAAACAAATATAAAGTTAAAAATTCATTTAGTTAGTACTTTCAAAACATGGTGATTTAACTTTTTGTCCTGTGAAATAAAAAGTTTAAAACTTGTAGACTTCTTAAAGATATTTCAAATGATTGGCTTTGATTTTATTTTAATAATACTTTTTTCATGTTGTTAAGCCAACCATAATTATGGTAGTATAAAAATGTTATCATCACTTTTTATGTCATTTTTTTTATTAATTTTTACATTTATTATTTAATACGTGAACTCCATATTCACTAACATAAAATATTTTTTTAAATAAAAAATGATATATATAATTCACATGTTAAATAATAAATATAGAGAGTGATAAAAAATATTAAAAATAGTGATGTTAATATTATTTTAAATAGAGATAGTTTATTAGATGTCTAGATCTTAACAATGACTTCTTAAATAGAGATTCGCGGGAAAAAGTGTATGGTAACGTTGTCGTTGAACCCTTTCCTTCACTTCTTCCCATTTATTGGAATCCTAAATATGCAAGTAGCACCACGTGCAGCACAAAAACTGAACTAGCAAGTAAGCTAATAAGTGCGATCCAAAACGCATAACTAAAGTTTTGTTTATTTCACTGATTTGAGTTTTTAATTTTAAATTTTTACAGTAAAAAATTCTCAGAAAATGTCACATTTAACTTTTTCTGCTACAGTGAAAAGCTCTCAGAAAATGTCACATCTCAGCTCGAATTAAAAACTCGAATCTGCGAAGTGAACGAGACCTAAAAAAGACATCTATTGCCCACAGAAAGTGATATCATGTTTATTTTACCGATTTAAGTTTAGAATTTGAGTTTTGTTACAATAAAAAGCTCTCAGAAACAGTCACATCTAACTTTTTTACTACAGTAAAAAGCTCTCACACAAAGTCACATCTCAACTCAAATTAAAAACTCGAATCAACGAACTAAACGGGCCCATAATACTCTACCACAAGTCTGCAATTATTAACCGTTAGAGACATCAACTCTAATTTTATTTTTCTTTTTATCAATTTATGTTTTATTTTTTTTACTAACTTACTTAATATATGAGTTGATGTCTTTTTATTAATAATTATTTTAAAAATTGTCAAGTCAATTAATTATAAATAACTATATCTATTAATGAATAGATGATAATTTTATTTTACATAAATTGGTATAAAATAGTTAGAATTAGTTTTAGTATTCCTAACATTACTCTTAACAATACATCTAGTCTAGAGACTTATATAATCTATTGCTTAAAAGTAGATTTCATTAAATTGGGTCTCACTTATGCACTTAATATTCGAGTTTTGTTATAGTAAAAAGCTTTAAAAAACAGTCACATCTAACTTTTTTATTACAGTAAAAAACTCTCACATAAAATTACATATCAACTCGAATTATAAACTCAAATCAGCGAAATGAACAGGCCCTAAATACATCTTAATCCATGAGAATGAATAGGAATACTCTAACGAGTAATGACGTGACGTTTTTAATTTAACGATAGGAAATTTTAACTTACAAACTACAAAAAAACACGCTATATAAAACAACAGCAAACTTCAAAAACGAGGCGACATTACTTTTTATTTTATTCTTTTTTTTTTCCCTCTTATAAAAGACACGCCTCTTTTACTTAAACACACAATAAACTAACTTAGCTTATATAAACATAAAGTGACGCGTTGTACTCTATCATATATTTCAAAAAAAAAAAAAATTACATTACTAAAATTCTATTTAAAACTTTTAAACTTGTATCTGGTCTATCAATTTCTCGCACTTTTATATTTTAATGAGATTTTGACCAATCCAACTACGGGTAAAGCACACACTATCTATTACCCTACAGTAGAAAGGTCTGATACATTAGCAACAACATGCATTTCTTGGATGAAAACAACATTTCAAAAGAAAGGGACGACATTTATAGATTATAGAGTCATTACAGGCGTAATTTTCAATCGTTGTAAGAGTATACAATAAGATTTATTTAATAGATAAATCTACACTTTCTCTTGAGTCAATAGACAATTTTGATTACGAAAATGACCAAAAAAACCTTAAAGAAAAAGTAGTAAGGAATATTTATATAATTAATCTTAATTTCTATCGTTAATTCATATGACGTTTATTAAATAATAGTGTTAGGGACATCAATATTAATTTTAACTATTTTGTACCATCTTATGTAGCATAAAATCGTTATTTTTTATTAATAAATATAATTATTTATTATTTTATGATAAAATTAAACAATTATTGATAAAAAAATGACAATTTAAATATCACGTAAATAAGTATAGAAAAGTAAAAATTAGAGCCCGTTTAGTTGGATGATTCGTTCTCTGATTCGAATCATGATTCATGGTTTACTACAGTATTTTTTCTAACAAAAAACACACGTAAATTAAAAATAATTTTAATCTCATAATTTTAATTTATGAACCAAACAGGCTCCGTATCTTGAGCATTATTATATATTAAAAGCTTTTCTCCCGAGTAATCTTTGTTTTATATAAAATGAAATTAGGCTTGTAGCAAAATAATAATAATAATAATAAAATCTCTAAAATGGTTGATGATCACAACGCACGCCGTCTCGCACTATTACCTACCGTTTATAAGCGCCTAAAAGTACGGCAGGCAATCTTTTTGTCCAAATTATATTATATGGACGTCACTTATTGCTTTTCATAATTCCATCCGACGGCAAACGAAGCCCAGAAAGGAATGTTCTTTATGTGACTCCATTAATGGTGCCTAATTTAATAATTTGTTTCCTTTTATTAATTCTCTATTATGGAATTTTTTCCATTTTCACCCATGAATGATGAAACCCCCCAGACATTGAGAACCCCACGAGCTTCATCATCTCTGCTTTTGCCTGATTCGTAGGTACGTCTATCTTTTCCATTTTTGCCCAAATGTTGATCGTCCTCTTTTTTTTTTTTTTTTTTTTTTTTTTTTTTTTTTTTCCGGATAATTCTCTATTATGGAATTTTTTCCATTTTCACCCATGAATGATGAAACCCCCCAGACATTGAGAACCCCACGAGCTTCATCATCTCTGCTTTTGCCTGATTCGTAGGTACGTCTATCTTTTCCATTTTTGCCCAAATGTTGATCGTCCTCTTTTTTTTTTTTTTTTTTTTTTTTGTTTTTCATTGTCCGGAATTATTTGCTCTTGGTTTTGTTTGAATTTCATTGGATGATGGGAAAACCCAATTGGGTATTGATTAGTTTTCTATGATTTGACGTTGTGGGGGCCTTTTGTTTGATCATCTACTATGTTTTGTTTTGGAGTTTTTGTGCCTGTTTTTGTTTTATTAATAAAAAACTCGTTGGTTTCTACATTCGAGTTTTCAATTCTTGGGTTGTGCATGAAGAGCAAAGTTTATTGATATTACCACTTTAGTCATAGTAGGAGAAATGGTCAACGAATGCTTATGGAATTGTTTTTTTATCATGTTATACTTGATTAAGGATAAAAGTGTTTCTTGCACAATATCTCAAGAAACAAGAATGCAAGAAAATTTTCCTCATAAAAATGGATCTCTCTACGGAGCACTAGATGGTGATATATGTAAACAACAATACAAGAAAAGATTGATTATAGGTTTGGGTCAAGAGACAGCAAGTCAACTTAATGACTGCTGATTATATGAGTACACCAATGAAACCGATCTATTTGTGTTCACATTAATTACCTGACTACTGAGTTAAGAAGTCTGAAAGTTCCCCAACTTTTCTTAAGTTTTTTGAGTTTCACATTTGTTTTCAACTTTCAAGGTCATGATTTTGTAACTTCATTTTCAGTGTCTCTTTTAATATCATATTGCAAGTTTTATCGTGTTGCATTCAATTTCTACTGAATGCCTGTGTCAAATATGCTTTCTTCTTTTCAGTGAATTAGTCATCACTTGGATGAACAAATGGAAAATGAAGAAATTCCCATTCTAAATTCAGAGGTGCAACACGAAATTGAGATGCCAAAAGTTTCAGAAAAGAGTAGTCTTCTCACTGCACAACTATCTTGTGCTTCTACTTGTGCCTTCTCCAAACACGAGCATACTACTTTGGAGTCGCAAGAAAGGTCGGAGTCAGCGACGAAACTCGGGGGACTCATAGTGTTCTATCTATTGGTAATGCTAGTAGAGATTGTTGGTGGTTTGAAAGCCAACAGCCTTGCTGTAATTACCGACGCCGGCCACTTGCTCACTGATGTTGCGGGATTTGCCATTTCCCTTTTCTCAGTATGGGCTTCAGGTTGGAAAGCGACACCATACCAATCTTTCGGTTATCATCGCCTAGAAGTCTTGGGTGCTCTTCTCTCTGTGCAGCTCATTTGGCTAATCTCCGGGCTCTTGATCTATGAAGCTGTTGGCAGGATTCTTCACAAGAGTGAAAGGGTCAATGGGATTCTCATGTTTGCAATAGCAGCCTTTGGATTTGTTGTCAACTTCATCATGGTCGTATGGCTTGGTCACCACAATCATACTCATCATGGATGTGCCCACTCGGACCATGATCACGACAAGGAAGAAGTTGGTGCTAGTACTGCAGAAAACACCAAAAAAATTTTGAACATAAACCTTCAAGGCGCTTATTTGCATGTCATGGTCGATATGATTCAATCTGTAGGAGTGATGATTGCTGGTGGCATCATTTGGGCGAAACCAGATTGGTTAGTGGTCGACTTGATTTGCACCCTCATATTTTCTGTTCTTTCTCTAAGCACAACCATACCCATGCTTAAAAACATATATGGCATATTGATGGAACGAATTCCGAATGACATCGACGTCACAACGCTAGAAAAAGATCTCAAGTCCATCAAAGGAGTTCAGGATGTGCATGACCTGCATGTTTGGGCGCTAACAGTTGGCAAGAGTGTGTTGTCTTGCCATGTAATAGCTGAACCTGCAGTCAACTCAAGACTATTGGTACACAAGATTAGGGATTACTGTGAAACAACACACAGGATACACCATGTAACAATACAAATCGAGTAGTCAGTTGCAGATACATTATTATCCTTCATTTTGTTTTATCTCTCCAGCTTATCTTAGAATTTTGTAAAAAGAGAGTTCAATTTTGGAAAATGGAAGGTTTCTTCGTTTTTCTTCGTGAAGTTGGGAGTAACAGTTAAGCATATCGTCGAGCTAGACTTTCTATAAGGTAACTCTGTAGATTTTATCAAATAGTCAAAAAATTATCCTTACAACAGCGCTATGGATGGCTATTTTTAAGTCCATGATATAACCTGCTAACCTAGAATGCAAGCTATGCATTTAGCTTGGCCTCTTTGTAAAGAATAATGTGTGTCCAAATTTACATTAGTTCATCCTTTGAACGAGCTGAAGTGAATTTAGGCTTGGCTTCTTTACAAAGCATAACATATGTTCAAATTCGTATTGGTTCATTCTTTGAACAAGATAATTGATCTTTTCCTTGAATTGAGCTAAAGCAGTTTCTGCACAACTTACAACTTGGTTTGCTTGCAGCAGCACCAAATGAAACATGAAACATCATCGAGACATCGACAGACTTTACAAGCGGGTTATATGCCTATATTTTACAGTGCGATGTATATTGTATGGAGATAAAAGCCTCAACCAAGAGGAAGAAATAAAGAGATTGCAACAGAGATCGCAAAAGAAAATTGTCTGTAAGACATGCCTTAAATGTAACACAAACTTTTATTACAAGTTAGATTGGACTCAAAAAAAAAAAAGGACAAAAACAGAGTAAAGCACTAGACTTACAAGGCTCTTCTGCTCCACTCTTTCTTCCACTCCAGATGCCATATTCCAACAACATTACAGTATAAGTCAAAGTTCCCCTTTCTAAAGCAACGGAAAGAAATGGTGCATAAGGAAGAGCGAACCCTCAAAAAGTACTAAAAATACAGTCGTTTAAAATTTTCACAAGAGCGAACCCTCAAAAAGTACTAAAAATACTGTCGTTGAAAAGAGCGAACCCTCAAAAAGTACTAAAAATACTGTCGTTTAAAATTTTCACAAGCTTCCTTATCACAACTCAATGAAGTAAAATTACATTCTACATGACTCTCACCCAAAAGGAAGGGGAAAAAAAAATTAATCTAGAAGAAAAAGTCTGCCACCTAGCAAATCTTTCCCCTCTCCCAAAACTCCACTTAAGTGGAGCAGCAACCTTTCTTCGCGTTCCCTGAAGATTCATTAACATTGATAGCGGTTCCTTGACTGGGAAGGGCGGTATTTCTGGCTGCTTCCTGGGCTGCCAATGCTTTCTTGCTTATGATGTGGTAGATCTCTGTCAAAATGGTTTGAAATGCCTTCTCAATATTGGTGGCTTCCAGTGCAGATGTCTCGAGAAACGAGAGGCCTTCCCTCTCAGCCAACGACTGACCATCATCTTCCGAAACAGCTCTAAGATGGTTCAAGTCAGACTTATTTCCGGTCATCATGATGACAATGTTTGAATCCGCATGGTCCCTCAATTCATGCAGCCACCTCTGGACATTGTCAAAGGTTTGCCTCTTGGTTATGTCGTAGACAAGCAGTGCACCAACTGCCCCTCTATAGTATGCACTTGTAATAGCACGATACCGCTCCTGACCTGCTGTGTCCCAGATCTGCGCCTTAACGGTCTTACCTTCAACCTGCACAAGTTTTTCAGATAACACATGCGATTATCAATCACATTAGAAGTTATGTTGGTTATCCATATGTAGCAAATATGTTTAACTATTCCATCTAAAAACGTATAATAATATGACAAACAAGATGGGAAGGAAGTTTCTCTAAACACAAAAGCGACCACTTTTTATTTTATTTTATTTTAGTATATTTCCACTAGTTCCCCAAACAAACAAATATCCACAGTTTGCCCCCACCTGCTTCTGTAAACACGCATTGCAAAACCTCCTTAGGCTCATTAACTTACAAAAGAACAAAAATTTTGGTTGTTCTTTTAGAGTGTAACTTGAGTGTAGTTTTTGAGTTATAACTTGAGTTGAAGTTGTAATTTGAATAAAGTTGAGTAAAGTTAAATAAAGTTGAAACAGTGAACTTGAATAAAGTTGGAACTCGAATTGTCTTTTTTTGGACAAAAGAGAATCCATAATTAAAAAAAAGAAAAAAAAAAGACCTTTAACTATCTTCAACCAGCTAGGCAACATGGCCAGAAGGGCACACCGTTCCAAAGCTACATCATATTCGTCAACTCCAAAGACTCCAAAAACAAAACCATACATGAATAGTCACAAATTCTGAAAAACTACAATTATAAGTGCATAATAATCAAACATATTTACTCTCCAAAAAGTAGCCTTTAAAATTAAACGAAAAGATCTAACAAATAATTAAGTGTATTAGTCCTGATGATCTTTAGAAAATCAACATAAGCAATGATTATAACCAATAAAAATCAACAAATGGATCGGTTAATATAGTGAGAATCAGATAGTCTAAAAGAAAAAAACTTGCCTGAAGAGTTCTGGTGGCGAACTCGACGCCGATGGTGGATTTGGATTCCAAACAGAACTCGTTCCTGGTATACCTCGAAAGAATGTTGGATTTTCCGACTCCCGAGTCTCCGATCAGGACGATCTTGAAGAGATAATCGTACTCGTGGTCTACCCTATGCGCCATAGCCCTTTCTCGCTCTCCGATTTCTCTCAGACCTACGTGACATTCAGATCCACACATCAATAAACACAAAAGCGAATTCACGTACACAAATATGTGGATGAAAATGGCAGATCTGGGGAAGAAAAACTCCATGGCTTTACCTTAATGGCAGACGGATCAAGGAGATAACGAGGTCGCGAACCGGTCTGTTGAAAGAGTTCGAGTCGGGGATTCAAATGGGAGGGTAACTGCACCAATTGTAGGGTGATTCACATGGGAACAAAGAGAGAGGAAGAAGAAGGAGGAGGAGAAACAGTGAGCGCTAATAGCACTTGGCCAATGAGAGGAAGAAACGGAAAGACCGATGAGAGAGAAAGGAAGGGAGGGACTTTGAAACGGCCTCATAAAAATAAGGAGACTTTTGGTAGGAAACGTCGTAGTTTTGAATGGCGCGGATAATAAGGACAAACGTGGATTGTCAAACCCATGCGGTGGCACTGACACAGGTGGCAGGCTGGCAGGCGGTGCCAGAGTATGTTTATTTTATTTTATTTAATATTGATCCAGAGTATATAACGTGTTCAGTTCGTTTTTTTTTTTTTTTGGAAGGATACATTTTTTTTTTAAATTTTTTTATTATATATATTTTTTACAGTTCATTGGTGTGTTACACGTTTTTTTTTTTTTTTTTTTTTCCCGCCCCTTGAACTCTTGAAGCTGACTGTTACGGTTGTCTCAATAAGAAAATGCTCCTGTCTCAATCTCACTTTAGAATGTGTCACCGTAGGGAGGAAGGGTGTAGAGATCGATGAATGGACAGAGAAGAAGGGGCACGTGAATATAAGGAGGATACATCTTTGATATTATTTGGTAAGGATGAGACAACAATTTTTTTTTAAAAAAATAGATGACAATAATATATCTAATTACTAATTTATTCATTTTATTGTAGGTTAGTAATTCTATTTAGAGATAAAATAGTATTTTTAACTTGAATTTGATGATTTTTTTTTTCTTTTACTCTTTTTTTTCAAACCTAATAGTGATCGTAAAATAGTGATTTTTTCATGACATCTCTCTAACTAAATAATATCTATCGACCATTTCTTTCTACTTCTTTTTCTCTAACTAAATACACTTTTAAGGCTTCTATTTCGCTTTTGAAAGTTGAATTGCTTTCACGTTCTAAGAATATATTTTCCCTCATTTTATCACTAAAATATTATATATAGAGAGAGATAATTCAAAGGCCTCAATTTTAAAAGGATAGATTCTCATGCTCTCTTGAAGAAAGAGAGTCAGGAACAATGAACAAGGATATATATATATATATATATAAATTTTTATTAGAAAAAATATTATAAAAAAAATAGAGTTGTAATTTGAGTTGTGAAAAGAACAAGTCGTAAACATTTTTGAATTGAAGTTTTGCAAGTTTATAGTGCATTCCGGAGACAAATCAAACTGATCTTCCTTCAAGAAGTCTTGCTTTTGGCACTGAGATTGCTTCGAGCTCCTCGATGAAGTTTGACTGCCGGTTCATGACTATACGAAGTTTTACAATGCTAGCTAGGGTTTTATTTGTAAATTTTATTCTCACCAGTCACACTCACATAAAATTGGTATATAATGAGACATGAGTTGAAAAAATAGGACCAATATATGTCTTTGTTAGTGCAGAATATTACTTAAACGACACAACGACTACTATTTTGCATAATTAGACTAAAGAATTATTGGGAAAAACGGCCTCAAAAAAATTTCTTTCGATTCTCAAGTCAACAAAAACATACAATTTTCTATGAAAACCTATTTATTGGCATGGGAGCGGGAAATTCAATTATCAATTATTACATTTGGACTGTATAATTGGTCGACAAAGTCCATTATATTTATGATCGTTCTACTTAACCACGTGTTTAATTATAATTCGTTTAGTATATTATAATGCGTATTGTTTGTCCTGCTCAACTATATATCTATGCCATGCCTTTGCCTTATTCTGATTTTGCTTGATCAGTTAAGCGTCATTTCGATAAAATGTAATTTCACCATGTCTTTTCTTAGCGTTATATCTTTTTTAATTTGCACGATGGTTTCATATTTCTATGAATATATTCAGAATTTTTCTTAACGATTTGCAAACTTTTATTGCATGTCAACGTTCTAAACGATGTCGTATTCTCAAAGGGGTAAAATTCATCCCCATAGTTTTCTTCCAATTTTAAATTTGTCACTTTGTAAATCGACGTGTGGTTTCTAAAATAATTTTCTTTTGACAAGATTGAGTCGGTTACTATTTTAGGGTGAGAATATATCCTACATTAAGAATCTATCTTTCAAAATCATAAAAGTAAGCATGGCCAATTTAAAATATATTTGCATTATTTGGTAATAATGGACTGGCAATATATATTATGTTCAAAAAAGATAATGGAGTTTTCTGTAGGCCAATGTTTTTGCATATACACGCATGTGCGTTGTTATTATGTTGATAACAATGATTTTGCCTCCAACACTCTCCTCTTTTTCTCCCTTTATACATTTATATGCACTAGACTAGTGGTCATTTAACTCAAACCACGGCCTCAGAAAGGGCCGGCTCTTCCGCTAGAGTGGCCGAGGGACCTTCCAACTTTCTATTTGACCTCACACACAAAGGGCATAAGATCATCATCTTTCGTTTTCACAAAAAAATTTAAAAGTTTTTGTGCTTCTAGTGTTAGAATTATGTGGCGCTTAATTATACTGTCCGTTCACTTCGCTGATTCGAGTTTGTAATTCGAGTTGAGATGTGATTTTGTGTGAGAGCTTTTTACTGTAGCAAAAAAGTTAGATGTGACTGTTTCTGAGAGTTTTTTACTGTAGCAAAACTCGAATTCTAAACTCGAATCAGCGAAATGAACGGGCTTAGTGTGTTGATTTGTCTGATATATAATCCCAAACCACTGCAAATCTGTAATCTTTTCCTTCTATAATAAAGAAATATGTAAATTTTTTTTTTCTAAGCTTCTTTTTTTCGCCCTCCAAGACTTGAACTTAGGATTTATTTAACGAAAAATGCTTTTTATCGTGACGAGGACAATTATAAATCCCTATCAGGACACATAGAATTAATACTCTTATTTAATACACTAAAAGTAACTCACATACCTACTAAATACTAACTGAGTTACAATTAAAAAGTATATGCCTTTTAAGTTTGAATTAAATCACGTGATTACAAATTGATACATTAGATTTACGTTGATATACTGGTAATTAATTACTAGATGATTTATCAAGATTAATTAATAATTCATCAAAAATCAATCAAGAGTTTATAAAAATTTATTTATTTTAAAAAATATTTTCGTAGTAGCAAAATTAGAGACATCTACCCTTTTAAACTTTAATAAAAAAAATTCAACCAAACAAGAGTTTAGAATAGTTAATTTATTCCAAAAAAAAAAAATTTGTTTAAATTAGCAAAATTAGAGACATCTACCTTTGTAAACTTTAACTATTTGACACGACGAAGCTATGTACTTGCATTCAACCTATTATATTTTTTTAGAAATAAATATTGAAATTAAAACTTTTTATTGACTTAGTATTCTTTTAAGAGCTTAGTTTAATAAAAAAGTTTACTAGAGCAGAGTTAAAAGGAAAACAAAGTTTCTAATGAAGTAAATTAAAGAGTAAATTATTTTTGGGTATGAAAAAAATGGTATTTAAGAGGGTTATAAAGAAATAAAAAATTTAGATAAGACACATTTGAAAAGATATGATGTAATAAAGCAATTAGAAAAAATTATTTTTATGAGGGTCACATTTAGAAAAAGAATATTGAGTATGCTCATATATGAGAGAAATTATATAAACGAAGATAAATTAGAGTAGTTTTATTCATGAGATAAATTGAGAATACTACCGACAAAAAAACATTTGTAAATATGGCGATAAGAAAAAGTGTTTTAAAAAACACATAAAAAGGATTAAATTGTGGAACAACTTTTAATAAAAAGAAAATAAAAAAGATATATTTAAAATAAATTATTTTAGTTAGTGCAAAGCAAAAAACATATCATAAACAAAATTAAATTGTATAACAAATTGGGAACATGAAAACAAAAAAACACAAAAAGATGATGTCCATGTGTTAAAAAGAAGGAGACTCTTCCTTGTAGTGCCACATGTGAAAAGGAGAAAAAACCTTTTGGCTATTTCGTGTATGTTAATTGGGAGTCCTTATGGTGGAGTAAATTATTTTGTTCCACTTATGAGAACTGTATTTTTATTATTGGATTAATTTTTTAATGATTAAATTTGTATAAAAATAATTTTGTGTAGTGTGTTAAAATTTTTTAATACAAATATATATAGATCTAGTATTTTAAAAATTAATTCAACAATTAAAAATAAATGTCACTAATAGTGGAGCAAAATAACTTGTTCCAAAAAAAGTCAATCCACCACAATTACTCATTTTATTATTTATTTATTTTTTTGAGAAAGAATTGAGTTGGTAAAGCAGTAATGTTGCCTGTTGGAATGTTGGTTGAAAAAGAGAGAAAAAAAAAAAAGACAAAAAGAAAAGTGTTGCTGTTGCAACCTGACACCACGCGCGAAAACTAGGGACCAAACCGCAAATAATTAACAATTTTCCTTTTTTCCCCAAAAAAAAAAAAAAAAAAAAAACAAGAAGAAGAAGACGTAAAATTCACTAATTTACAGTAATAATAACAAAATCAATTTTCATAGCAGGCAGGCAGGGACGGTGACCTGATCTTGGGTGCGAAGAAGATGAGGAAGGAAGACACGGTGAAGCTGATCAGCGCCGAGGGCTTCGAATTCGTCGTCCACAAAGACGCCGCCATGGTTTCTCAGACCATTCGCAACATGCTCACCTCTCCTGGTAAACTAATTTCTCTCGTAACCATTTCTCTCTCCCAATTATCTCTCCCAAGAACTCAATTAGGGTTTCAGATTCAGTCTGATTTGCTCCTTGGTTGGCAATGGCAGGAAGTTTCGCCGAAACGCAGCACGGTGAGGTCACTTTCCCCGAGATCAGCACCACGATCCTCGAGAAGATTTGCAAGTATTTCTATTGGAATCTTGAATTCGCCAGGTTTTTGTTTCTTACACGATTTAATTTCTTGTCATTGATTTTGGGATTTTTTTTTTTTTACTGTTTTCATTTGGACCGAATTTGATTTTAGGCTGTCTTTTGATTTCAGATTTATGTGTTTCACTGATAATCATTTATTGTGTGTATCTCTTGTGGAGGTTTGAAATTAAAAGCAAACGGAGGGGTGAAATATATTGTATGAGTTTGGTTGGGCTAAAAATGCTAATAAATGGGCAAAAGGACAGCACAGAGAGGCTATACAAAAGGAATTATATCAACATTGATGTATATGCCAATTTGGTCGGTAGGAGATGAGACATATATATATATATATATGTATGTATATATATATATATGTTATATATGTTATTGAAGCCATTGTTGTTCCAGACTCTTATTTTACTCCAATTACTCAATGCAGACAGCAGTGATTAGTGTTTGGATTCCATCCATGTTCCAAATATTATTGCTATTATTATTATTATTGTTGTTGTTGTTTTTGGTGGATCTGACTTTCTTCTGTCTTTTGCTGTGTTCTCAATAAATTATTGAAGTAAGAGTTCTAAATGGTATCTTGGAAGAATCCTTATTCCTTAACTTTTTCGTTCTCATAGAAAGTTTCTAGGACTAGAACAACCGCCCTCTCTTTTTTCCCCATGTATATAAATATATAAAGGTGAATGAAAGTATTAAGGTTATTGATTTTTGCTCGATTCACCTATTGAGCATTCTAAAATTAACGTCTAGACAGACTGCTTTATTGGTTTTTAGAAGTTCTGTAGATAGAAATGTAACTGGTTTGTTGGGAGGGATCAAAATTCTGAGGGCTTTATTTGCTTATTTCGCTTTCGTCCGTTCTTTTCTTTTTATCTTCTTCTTTCCCCTCTTACTGATTTGGCGTTGCTCTTCTGTCAGCGGGAAAGAGACTGAGTTTCACATCGAACCTGAATTGACTCTCGAGTTGATGATGGCCGCGAATTATCTCCACACTTAGCATACCATTCCTTTGTAGCCTCTTGGGCGACAGCATCCAATTCCGTCATTGTAAGGTGACTTGAGGGAATCCTTGCATATCACGTGGTTTGTTAACTCCCAATTTTTCATTTTATTTTAACGTGACTTTCCCTTCTCTTTCTTCGGTTTCTATTTTCTACCAGGAATGGTTGAGGACGAGATTGTGGCTTGAGAAGGCTTTTGACTGTAGGAAATGTATTGAGCATTGGAATTTACTCCTGGATTTCAATGTAGTGTAGTGTAGTGTTCAAGGTTATATGTGATTGCCGCACTTGGAACAGTGTGAGACTTAACAGACTGATGTGGTCATATTCCTGGCCATTGTCAAGTTCATGTAAAACTGTTTTTGCAACTAATCAAATCATGCAAATTTGGATGACTCTCAATCATTTACCATATATAACTTGCTAATGAAAAAGGATCAAGTATCAAGAATTTTGTAATAGCAAGCTGTAGCTCATAGATGCAGAATTTGATTGATGCGAGATTGGAGATAGTTGTAACAGTTGCAAAACTTGTGCTTTTCTGAAATTGAGAGCTTGTTCCAAAGACTGAAAATAAATGCAAATCTTCATTGCTTGCAAAAGGTCTGTACTCTGTAATGAGATGTGCTAAAATGCTCCCAAAATCCCTGCCTTTTTTTTCCAATAATAATAATACAAAGAAAACACGTGGCTATTCTTTGTCATTCACAGAAATCAAATATTACTAGAGCTTGATTGGATGAATTAATAAGATGCTTTGATAAGGAAATACAGGTCTAATTGGATCAAATGCACTTTCAGGACTTGGGTCATTCTTATGGCTTTTTAAACGGGATCATTTTGTTCATCCATGTGAGGGCCCCTCATCATCAATGATACCCAAAAATGATACCCAGCTATTTCAATTGAAGTTTGAAATATTTGCATCCAAAAATTGACACTATTTACGATACCAAAAAGAAAAACAGATGCACTATTTGTCACTCGTTATTCTAGTTCTCTATGGATAAAAAAAAAATAGGCATTGAAGTATCATGGATTTTGGGTTTGTCATTCCTTGTTAATGCGTCCTTTTTGCTGGTTTACTGGCTGTCTACACTCGCTGCTTGTGTTACTTCCCTTTTTTTTATTTTTTATTTTAATTTGGCAGCGGAGGGATTCGAACTCTTTACTTTATGGTAGAGTCAAGTATGGAATTACTGTCAGACTATGCCTGCAACCACACTTGTTTTACTTTCTAGAGAAGTCAAATACAAAAATATGAAACAAATTAATTCACTGCCTTTTTTGTCAAGATTTTATAAGCTTACATGGAAAGAAATACTGAAATCTAAACTTTCATCATTCTCAAATAACTTTTGCACCTATGGAAGAAGCATTAAATTTTTAGATTTGGACTTTATTTCTTGACAGAAAAAAAACTGTTAAGGATTCTACAGATAATCCCAGAGACTTAATGATTTTGCCATATATGCATTAGCCATCTAAGTGAACTAATTTGGATGCCTTATATAGAAGAGCTTTTCCTTTCCATAAGATAGTGTGAAGTCAGTATAAAGTAATCTACATCACTCCTGAACTCTGAAAAACTACAAAACATGGGGAAGTTTGGAGCTCTTCTGTTTAACGTTTTCTTCACCGTTTTCATCCTCGCCTTGAGCTTTTCGTGCAAAGCCATTGACGAAGATAGAAAGGTAAGTAGTTTCTGTATTTTTAGCATCTCTGATAATTGCTGACTAGTAAAAGTAATATAGCAACCGAAGAGCACCAATGTTTCACAGAAAACTACCATTTGAATTTGACACTCTTTAAGAAAAGACCCCTTTTTGCTTAACTGAAGATTTTCTGATGATACAGGCCTATATTGTGTACATGGGGGCACTTCCTGATGGAGTGTACACTCCATCGACTCATCACTTTAGTATACTACAAAGTATAATTCAGGACAGGTAATCAGTTAGGTTACTCTTATTTCTAACAATCACTCTGTTTCGAGTTTCACTCTATAACTCGCGCTATGTATGTGGCAGTTCTATTGCAGGTTCCTTTATTCGAAGTTACAAAAGGAGTTTCAATGGATTTGCAGCCAAACTTACTGATCAAGAAAGACAGAAGCTTGCCAGTAAGTTCTCTGAGATATCCAGTTGAACCATTTAGTAGTATATATAGCATGTCTTGAGACAAAAAACTTATAATAGGTGCTTCTGGAACTGTGATTGGCAGGTATGAAGGAAATAGTCTCCATTTTCCGGAGCGAAATTTTTCAAACTCAAACAACAAGATCTTGGGACTTCATGGGTTTGCACGAGAAAATAGATAGAAAACCGACTGCCGAGAGTGATACCATAATTGGTGTTATTGACACTGGAATTTGGCCTGAGTTGGAGAGCTTTAGTGATGAAGGCTTTGGTCCTCCTCCCAAGAAGTGGAAGGGTGCTTGCACAGGCGGAACAAATTTCACTTGCAACAAGTATTTTTCCTTTTAAGCTCATCGCAGCTTTGTGGTTTTAGTTGGTTATGTAAAACAAACATCTGCATGTTATTCCTTTTTAATTTACTTTTTCCAATTGTTGCTCTTTGAGATTCTGTAAATACTAATTTTGCAGCAAGATCGTCAGAGCTCGGTATTATTTATCATTTGGATCAGGTTATGAGTCTGCAAGAGATCTCGTCGGCCATGGGAGCCATACAGCCTCAACGGCTGCTGGAAACAACATAAAGGATGTGAGTTTTTATGGAATAGCAGAAGGCACTGCAAGAGGGGGGGTTCCTTCTTCTAGAATCGCTGCATATAAAGTCTGTGACCCTGAGGGGTGCTATTCGCACTCTATCTTGGCTGCTTTTGATGATGCAATTGCTGATGGTGTTGACATCATTACTGTATCACTCGGAAGTAGTGGGGCTCATGCATTCGAAGTTGATCCAATCGCAATCGGCTCTTTTCATGCAATGGCAAAAGGGATACTAACCTTAAACTCTGCAGGAAACAGTGGCCCGTCTCTTCAGACCGTGTCAAGTTTAGCGCCATGGCTGATGACAGTAGCCGCAAGTAGCATAGACCGACGGATTATTTCTAAGGTTTCTCTTGCTAATGGGACAACCATTATTGTATGTCTCATCACTCACCTGCTTCGTTGCATAATTTCTTTTTATTTTTTGGGTGTATCTTTTAAGTTTCAACACTTTCTACATGTTTGGTTATTGTTTTCTTATGACTGCAAAAACAGGGAAGTTCAGTAAATTCTTTCAAACTGAATGAAACGACATTTCCTTTAGTACATGGAAGAAATGGTTCTACTCGGTGCTCAGAGTTGAGGGCTAGGTAGATTCTGCAAACCGTTTGTTTTGACTTGAAAAAGTATCAAAGGATGATATCAAAATGAAGAACAAAACTGTACTCTTTTTTTGTTGCATTTTTAGGCTATGCGAAGAAGGTTTCCTCGACAGATGTTTAGTCGAGGGAACGATTGTGCTGTGCGATCGAGTTATAGGAATCAAGGAGGCCTATAGAGCTGGTGCACTTGGTTCGATTTCTGTTGATGGCACATTTAGTGATGTTTCTTTTGTTTCCCCATTGCCTGCAGTAACTTTAAACCAGACGAATTATATGGCGATCATTTCCTACCTATGTTCCACAGAGTATGTATTCCTCCATAAGTCCAATCTCACTACGTTTGGTAAGCTTTTTGAAATAGAAATTGCTAGGGAGAAGAGTTTAAATTTCATATTTGATTGATTACTTGTTTTTTCTTCCGCAAACAATGCAAACCCTCTACTTATTTTTGCAGAGACCCTCGAGCAACCATATTACAAAGTGAAACCATAAAAGATATTGCAGCTCCTGTTGTTGTTTCCTTCTCTTCGCGTGGACCAAATGCTATTACACCGGATATTATGAAGGTTTATGTTTTGCTCTTACCTACTAATGCTCATTATTATTTTTTCCTTTCATATATTTTCTAGTGTAGCATCTTTACTTAGATGGTGATTTAATGCATTGCAGCCGGATATAACTGCTCCAGGAGTGGACATATTAGCCTCATATTCACCTGTAGTTCCACCCTCAGATTCCTTTGACGACACGAGGCGCGTAAAGTACAATATCATGTCTGGAACCTCCATGTCTTGTCCCCATGTCGCTGGAGCAGCTGCCTATGTTAAAACATTTCATCCTGACTGGTCTCCTTCAGCCATTAAATCAGCTCTTATGACTACAGGTATTGTTGAAAAAACTCCTCTCTAAACATGTCAAATGTTTACTTTTGTAAACTTTATAACCAATTCTCTCTGATGGCTGCAGCTTTTATCATGAACGACACTGATCATCCCAACAAAGAATTCGATCATGGTTCCGGGCATGTCAACCCCACAACAGCTATAAATCCCGGACTTGTGTACGAGTCTTCCGAAGTAGACTATGTTGCGTTTCTCTGCAGCATTGGCTATGATGACGTGAAAGTTAGGCGCATATCAGGAGATAACAGCACTTGCCCCAAAAGCTCAGAAGAAGGATCATCACCAAGGTATCTCAATTACCCTTCAATGACTGCTCAAGTTCCAGCAGGCAAGCCGTTTATGGTTAGATTTCCCAGAAGGGTTACGTATGTGGGTGACGGAAACTCCACTTATACGGCAAGAATCTTACCAAAGTTGAAGCTTCATATAAAAGTAACGCCTTCAGTTTTTTCTTTTCAGTCACTGGGCGAGGAGAAATCCTTTGATGTGATTGTTAAAGGAAAAGGCTTATCAGATAACTCTATTGTGTCTACATCACTAGTGTGGACTGATCGCTTTCATAATGTTAGAAGTCCCATTGTCCTGCACAGCCTGTTCTCAACTTAATCTTGCTGCCAAATGGGAGGCCCCATTAACAATAAATTGGCTTTATTCCAATTGTAATTATGTTACTTCAACAATAGTTGCAATTTTCATTGACCATCATTTGCGTTGGATGTTGTAGAGAATGGATTTTGCAAAATATTTATAGAAAAATGAGAGATTGTTAACTTTTTTAATTCGGGCATTGAAGTTGACGTAAACTGAAGAAACAAAAGAAAAATGAAGAGATGAACAAAGCAATTTCACTCAAAATAATGATTCAACAAAGTCTGTAATGCACAATGGGAGCAATTTATAAGTTATGGCTTTTAAACGGGGCTCATTTTTGTTCATCCATGCCAGTAGTCCGTTATCATCAATCAGTTTGTTTACTAGATTTAAATTAAAATGCGATCAATATTATTTTTAACAATAACAAAAACACTATTAAGGATACGTAAATATCCTTTCCTTCAATATATATTATTTGTAAATCAATTGTAATAACCAACCTTGATTGTAAGAGATTACGTACATTACCTTGATTGTAGGAGATTTGGTGTATTAGAAAACTTACCATTATTTGTATCATCATTACTGTATATATATTTCGACTAATCAACAGTAAGGCTTATGCCATTATTCACAAATATATTCAATTGTTCATAAATACTACTCAGCAATTTCAAACGAAGATTGATATTATTAATATAAAAAAACCAAAAAGAAAACGATGCACTGTTTTGTCACTCGTTATACTGGCTCTCTACGCTTAAAAATAAATAGGCAATGAAATATCATGGACTATGGGACCATTGTTCCTCATTAATGCGTCATTGCCTTTTTTTTCAAACAAGATTTTGTTACCTTACATGCAAATAAATGACTAGATCCAACTTCATACATTCTCCAATAATTTGTGAACAAGAAACATTAAATTTTTTTATTTGGATTTTTATTTTGGGAGGGGGATTTGGATTTTACTTATTGATAGAAAAAATAAAACTCTTGAGAATTCTACAAATGATCCCAGACTTAATGATATTACCATGTATGCATTACCCATGAAAGTGAAATAATTTGGATACCTACTATAAAAGATCTTTTCCTATCTATCAAGTAATAAATTTAGTATAAATATTCTACATTACTCCTGAACTCTGAGAAACTGTACGACATGGGCAAGTTTGAAGCTCTTTTGTTTCACTTTTTCTTCACCATTTTCATCCTCGTAGCGTGCTTCTGGTGCAAATCCTTAGATGAAGATAGAAAGGCAAGTAGTTTTATGTTGCGATACATTTAGCATCTCTCTGCTAATTGGTGCCTAGTAAAATTAATATAGCAAACAAATAGCGCCAATATTAACATTTGAATGTGACACTCTTTGTTAAGTGGGCCTTTTCCGGTTAACTGAAGATTTCCTGATGACACAGGCCTATATTGTGTACATGGGGGCTCTTCCTGATGGCGTGTCGTCGACGTCGACTCATCACTTCAGTATACTACATAGGATAGTTCAGGGCAGGTAATCAGTTAGGTTACTGTTCTTTGTAGTAATCACATTGTTTTGAGTTTTACTCTCTTAAACTGACTGTCGAGAGTGATACTCTAATTGGTGTTATTGACACTGGAAATTTGGCCCGAGTTGGAGAGTTTTAGTGGAGAAGGCTTTGGTCCTCCTCCCAAGAAGTGGAAGGGTGCTTGCAACGACGGAACAAATTTCACTTGCAACAAGTATTCTTCCTTTTCCAGCTCATTGCAGCTTTGTGATTTTAGTTAATTATGTAAACCTTGTCCATTAGTAACTTCCTTGTACAAATACCTGCATGTTGTTCTATTTTCTGTTACCTTTTTCCATTTTTTCTCTTATAAATATTGAGATTTATTAGCAAAAAAACACACCTTTATATTCACGTAGCAAAAAAATAAACTGAAATAAAAATAATAAAAAAATATAGAAGACAAAGATTTAGGTGGCTCGGAAAAATTTTTTACGTCTAAGGAAGAGAGAAAAATTTATTAACAGTTTCAGAGTTACATACTCAACAAACTTTCTAACTTTTTCTTTCTACCAAAAACCCCCTACACCCTTGCGTATCTCTCTTCTCACTTTTTTCTCTCTCTCAAAAGGAGACACTATGTGTCTATACTTTTCTCAACACTTAATAACCCTTGCTCAAAAGTCAAAAATAGAAAACAGTAACTTACCCAAAAAATACAATTATTAATTTTCCAAAACTAATTTGAGTCACTTACCTAATAAGATTCAGTATATACTAATTTTGCAGCAAGATCATCGGGGCTCGGTATTATAAATCATTTGGATCAAAGTTTGACTCTGCAAGAGACAACATCGGTCATGGGAGCCATACAGCCTTCAACAGCTGCGAGAAACAACACAAAGGATGCAAGTTTTTATAGAATAGCAGAAGGCACTGCGAGATGCATACAAAGTCTGTGACCCTTTCAGGTGCTATTCGCACTCTATTTATGCTGCTTTGATGATGCAATTGCTGATGGTGTTGACATCATTACTGTATCACTCGGACTTAGTGGGGATCAAGGATTTGATGTTGATCCAATCGCAATTGGCTCTTTTCGCTCAATGGCAAAAGGGATACTAACCCCTTCTTTTGGAACCTTGATAAGTTTAGCTCCGTGGCTGATGACAATAGCTGCAAGTAGCATAGACCGATGAATTATTGACAAGGTTTCTCTTGGCAATCTTATCACTCGCCTACTTTGTGTGTGTCTGTGCACGCGCGTATTTTGGTGTTTCTTTTAATTTGTAACGCTTATTCTACGTGATGATTGGTTGTGATTTTCTTGTCATGCATATTATGACTGAACGAACAGGGAAGTTCTGTAAATTCTTTCAAATTGAATGGAACAACATTTCCGCTAGTACATGGAAAAAAATGTTTCAACTAGGTGCTCTGATTTGAGGGCTAGGTAGATACTGCAAACTGTTTCATACAATAATATTGAACAAAACTGTTCTTTTCTGTTGCATTTTCAGGATATGCAACTTAGGTTACCTCGACAGACGCTTAGTCAAGGGAAAGATGATGTTGTGCGATCGAGTTGCTGGAATCAATGCGGCCTATAGAGCTGGTGCACTTGGTTCGATTTCGGTTGATGACACATCCATTGATTATTATTTTGTTTCCCCATTCCCTGCTTTAACTTTAAACCAGATAGATTACATGGCCGTCATGTCCTACCTATATTCCACGGAGTTTTTATTCTTCTATAGGTCCTTATTCATTAAGTTTTTCTTCCTAAGACGAAGCAAGCCCTTTCCTTATCTTTGGAGTTGTCCTCGGGAAACATTATTTAAAAGTGAAGTTGTTATGCCATAGTCGAGATCTCCGATTTTTCCTCCTATGTAGCCGTCGAGAAATACATAAGCCACGATTAGGCTTAGCTGTTGAGAGATACTGATGTAAAAAGAAAACCTTGTGTTGAGCATCTTATACCGCATTGCGTGACGTCACGAGAAGTCCTAATAAGGTCACGAGGATATCAGTGTAGAAGAGTCGACAAATGTGAGAGAAGACAGAGGATCAACATAAAGTCCACCAAATCAAGAGAGGATAACTCTTATCTTATATTCAAATAGAAGAGCAAATATAGATTATCAACTACAGCCATGTATTTGAATTCAAATAATTAAATATGAAGATAAAGCTAAGTAAATCCTTATTTAAAAAGGGCATAAAGAAGCTTATCTCATAATGTGATCTAGAGATAAAGATATCATGTACATGAGAACCTATAAGTAAGGGTAAACTCCTCATTTAGTCTTTATGCACAATTTTCTACTGTAAGAGAGATTCTCTATACTCTTGAGACTTGGTGCATTCACAAGTGGACGTAGGTAATAATATTTTGTCGAACCACTATAAATTTGTGTGTTTTCTTTATTTTCTGCATTTATTTTTGAGTCAATTTGTGAGAATCGTAATGTAAGTATTTCCGGAGAAATAAATTCCGAGTTGATGAATTTCACTGTCAACAATTAGCGTTAAAAGGAGGGCCAAGAATCAAAAATTGAGGAATCTAGCAATAACTGAATAAGAACTCGTCGTACGACAGCAAACCAAAAAAATCAAGAAGGCCAAAACGCTGAGGTTGATGGGGGAAATCAACAAAATCACCCAAATGACAACCAATTGGAGCTGGGAAATCAACCTAATTAAAGGGAAATTGTTTCCGGAAACGGGGACTCTCAGGCCCGTATGATCAGCTTCAACAACAAGTGGAGACTCTCACCACAACGGTAGAGAGAATGGCTGCAATCATGACAAGGCGTGAGGAGAGACCTGATTATATGCCATCGCTGGAAGACGCGCTAGTAAACCCAACAGACGACGCTGCCGGAAACCAAAAGAAAGGTGACCAGCGCAGTGATGCTGAGGGAACTGGTGATTGTGAAGGGAACCTCAATCCTTGCCTGGCAAGATCGTGAAGGTCGGTGGGAAGCAGACAGCGCGCGGCCCGAAGAAGAGCCCAAGAGAAGGCTGCGGCTCCAAGAACCAACAACAGGAAAGGCCCCCACAACCGCTGGCATGGAACCGAACAGAGATGACGTTGGGCATGGAACCCACACAGCCTCAACGGCAGTAGGGAACCATGTCAAGGACGCAAGTTTTTACGGACTAGCGAAAGGCACCGCAAGAGGAGGTGTTCCCTCAGCAAGAATTGCAGCCTATAAAGTCTGCGATGTTGCTGGATGCAATTCGGACGCCCCCTTGGCCGCTTTCGACGATGCCATTGATGACGGTGTCGACATCATTACAATATCAATCGGATCCTCTGAGGCTAAAGACTCTGTCAAATATCCGATCGCCATCGGTGCTTTTCATGCAATGGTGAAAGGCATACTGACCTTGAACTCTGCAGGAAACAATGAACCCAGTTTTTTGTCCGTGTCTAGTGTCGCACCTTGGATGATGTCAGTTGCAGCTAGTAGCACGGATCGGCGAACCATAGACAATGTTGTCCTTGCCGATGGAAAGACAATAATTGTATGTCTCATTT